AGGGTAGAAGTTTACAAGAAAGTAATTCATCAAAACATTAAGAGTTAGTAAAAAAATAAAAACTAATATTCATTCTAAAAAAATATAGTATACGTCTATTATAATTTACAAAAAAATTAAAATAGGTATATTTAGATTGCTTGATTTATATGTATGTAGTTGATGTTGTATTTATTTGATTGCTTCAAATTAAAATCTTAATTGATCCCAAAAAAATTTAAAACATGAATTAAAACAAAATTATAGCTCAAAAAGTCCACGTGCAAGGCACGTGTTCATGATCTAGTTTGAGTAAAAGAGTATTGGACAAATCTTGTGACATCTATTTGTTGGAACAACTTAATAGATCTATGAAACAGCTGAATTGAAATTCAGGTAAAACTTTAAGAATGTAATTATATTAATTGAAATTTCAGAGGCCAAATGAAAATGGTGGAATTATTCCTACCCTACAAATCTTAGTTCCCACCCTATTAAATTATAAGTCATAAAACTAATAAATTCACCTCATCTATATACACCCCACTAATAACTAAGTTCACTCAATTCTATACCCATTAATAACTAAACTTATCTTAATATTTATTTTTAGGATTTTTTTCTATACCTCATCTCACACAGTCTATACAAAATATACTTAACAAGATTATCTATTAAAACTGAGCAAATAATTATGTATAGACTGTTTGATTTGAAGAGAGAGACTTGATGATCTTTTTTTTTTCTTTTTCAAGAAACTTAGCTTTAGATGCAATCTTGAACGAAAACTCCAAGGGATTTCCTTCTATATATGAAGAAATTAAGTGTGAAGATTTTTTTTTTCTTTATTAATTCCTTCAATCGACGAATAAAAAAGGAAGAAAGAGAAGCGCATAGTGGAATTGGAGTATTATTTCAACGATGAGATCAGAGAATATAAAGATCGGACGACAATAGTTGAAGGAATTTGTATGAAAGAAACCTAGTGTAGAATCCAATTGGTCAAATGGTACTCCTTGCCTTGTGAAAATTTTGCTTTCTTGAGTTCAAGGGTTCAAATCCCCAAAAAATAAAAAAGTATATTTGTGTATAGATTGTATGAGATGGGTATAGAAATAAACCTAAAGGTGAAGATTGAGATAAATTTTATTGTTAATGGGGTGGGTACAAAATGTGGTGAACATGGGTGAATTTAGTAGTTTTATGATTTATAGTTCAATAAGGTTGGAATAGAGATTTATGGAGTGAAAATAATCCTATTTAATAAAAATTATGTGGATATTTTAAGAGCGTAAATTATAAAGAGTAATGCTATATATCCCAAATTTGTATCCCAAATGTGCATCCCTAATCAATAACGATGGTTGGATCAGTGGATCTCAATTAAAAAAGTTGATGGAACCCACTCATCCAATGATTCCCGTTCATTTGAGATGTAAATTTGGGTTATATAGTATTTTCCAATTATAAATTACCCTTAACCCTAATAAATGCACCAATGCAAACCGATTGATTAAAGACTTATTTGGATGAATTTTAAGGAGGAGTTTTAATTGATTTCTTACCTTTCCAAACCCAAACCCCTATTTGCAAAGATAGGATGCAACATTTAATTCGGTTCACACTCATGTTTAGTATGCAATACATACACATGTAGACCTACAAATCTATAATATAAAACAGGGCGGCTTCAACAAGTTCATCTTACGGTCTTAAATTCATTCATCCAACAGTCAAGAAATTACCTTTTTTCCCCCTTAATATTCCCCCCCCCCCAACTGGTCAACAATTATGGCTGATTTTGGACACATTATACGATCTCAAATTTATTCATCAAACGGTCAAGAAATTACCATTTTTTCCTTAATATTTTCCCCCAATTGGTCAACGATTACGGCTGATCTTGGAACACAAGATTTTCTTTAACATAATAATTAAATGAGTCAAATTTGTCATTAATATTATTTGTGTAGTGTAACATTTTGAATTTTTATAAAACACATTAATAACATTTTGATTAAAAAAAACTCATCAATTTAACAAATAAAAAAAACAAGGGCACTACTTGACACATTTATATTGAATATAATTAATTTTAATCAAAAGTTCAAGACTAATTTTTTTTTTTATTTCTTAAGAAAATCCAACGCTAATATATTCTTATAAATTAATAATTTTGTAATAACTTGTACTAACTAAAAAAAAATATTTTATAAATGATATTTGTAGAACTTTTTTTGATAGAGCATATTTGGCGATATGTTTTTTGATAAATTAGACTTTTAATTTATATTAGATTTGACTCAATTTTGATTACATGTATATAAATTAATGTTCAATTTTGATTACATGTATATAAATTAATTTTTTTTAAGTCAATTCTATCATATTTTGTGGATTTATCTATAATATAAAACAGGAAAGACTTCAATAAGTTCATACGACGATTTTAAATAAACTCATCCAATGACCACCAACATCGTTTTGAAAACTATTCAGATTGAATTTTACCTTCATCTTTTCACCCTTTATTCTCTCTCTCTCTCTCTGGCAATGGCATATAGAGGAGGGGTCTAAGATCACCCTGAATATTAGTTTTTTTAAGTTATATTTGTTTTATATATTTTTTGGATATTCTTAATTGAGCCAGTTGTAATGATTTATGAAAAAAAAATTTAATTGAGTCAAACAAATTGAGTACTAGAACCCAAAAAAAAATTTATACCAAATCTCTTAAAATTAGCAAACTAAAATTGATTCCTTAGAATATTGATATGATTTGTTGGAACTTTATTTGGTTCAAAAATTATGGAATATATAGCCAAAAATGAGTAAAATATAAAATTTGTAAGAAGATTAAATATTATAGAATATTACTTTTATTTGTGTCAAACCTATAATATTAAATAGGACAGACTTCAATAAATCCATTCGACGGTCTTAAATATATTCATCCAATGGCCTCTAACATTCCTCTCAAAACCATTTACGTTCCCTCTCAATTCAATTTATATCCATGTTAAGGAATACAATTATTTTTTGGATCTTTAATCCTTTACCTATATTTCCAAATCCTAGGCTTGACAAAACTCATGATCATAAGTTTAATCTTTGGACCGACTATGACAAGATTTAAAAATTCAAGATCAAATTTTCTAAACAATCATAAAATTTGAGTATGAGGGATTATGGACTATTTTTTCCAAACCGATCTTACCAAACCCCCCTGCCCCTTACCAAACAGCCCTTTAAGGTGGTGTTTGGATCACCATGGGAGGATTAGATTGGATTGAATTTGAATCCGAACTCAATCCAATCCAATGTAATGTGGTCCGGATTGGAGGATTATAACACTCGGATTCAAATCCTATCTCATGTTTGGATAGGTTTTATTTGGTTTGTAGGCCCCATTCATATGTGAAAATAAAACATACTTAAATGACTATTTCCCTCTTATGTAAAAAAATGTTATCCAATCCTATACTATGTTTGGAACGGAATGAAAAAAAAGTCCAATTCATTAGTATTGTCTATTTACAAAAAAAAAATATGAATCAATAAATTACGTATTTTTACAAAATATTGCAATAAATATTTTGTTCATTTATTTAATTTAATTTGTACAATACACTTTTAATCACAAAAATCATATGCATCATGCAAAAAAAATAAAAACTTTCAACACACATAATTGTAATCCAAATATTATGCTTGTACACCATGTTAAATAAATAACAAAATGACCCGGTGTGAGTTCTTGGCTGAATTGTTGTGCCATGGTGGGTTGGGAAGTTCCAGCAATATACAAAATAATACACAGAAGAGTCTGAGAGGGAGATGAAGAAGCAGAGATGTAAAAGGAGAGAGCATAGTAGATCTGCTTGAAGCCAAATCTTGTATGGCTGAGAGGTCCAAAAAAACAAAAACAAGTCATGGACACTCCCCCAAAATCCTCAAAACCGCTAGCCCATCACTACCAACTCAAAATATCCAAATCAGATCCCCACCCCTCTGATTCAGATGATCCAAGCAATGCCTCATAAGAGCCATCCACACCTTTTTGCTGCATCAAACACAAAAACGAAGAAGAACACCAACTCCTGAAACGCCACCACAACTACCAGCCCATCCCCACCCACAATAAAAAAAACCCAATTCAGAACCCATACCCCTTTCCCCCGTTGCCGCCACTAACAGAAAAATGAAGAAGCAATCGGAGAAGTCAGATAAGATCCAAAACATATACTGAGATAAAAAGATAATGGTCTGAGCAAAGAAGATAAAGAGAGAAAAACCCAGACCAGACGCCATTGCCTTCTTCGTGAATGAGAGGGGAGACCAGTGGGGTGGAATGGGTAAAAATCCTTACAAATTTACTGTGTAATGGGTGTTTTAGTAAATTGGTTGTTGTATCCTGTTGACAAAATTTGAATCCCTCCTGCTCCAGGGGTTACAGATATCCGGTGCATAAGGGATAGTGGGAAGCATTTCATAAGGCCGATCATTTCAAAGACTACGAATATCCCACCTATTTTAACATATCCAAACACGGTGTGTTTGTTTGGAGGGATATAGGCGGATAGGACTTGTTGGATTGGATAAAAATATTCGAAGACCCACATATCCCAGCTTTGGGTCGTTCAAATGGAATTGAATTTTCGTTGGGTTGAATTACTCAGCCCGTAGTCAATTAGGCCGAAAATCCCATCTGATCCGGATAAATGAAACTCGCTGGACTTTGGGATTTCTAAGCCCAGTGGATGGATAGTGGATATAACACATTAAATTACGTTATTACCCTTTAAACAGTAAACCACGAATGTTTGTTTATTTCCTCTTCCTCCATAGGCCACCACTGCCTCTCTCTCTCTCTCTCTCTCTCTGTCGTCTACACCTCAACTTTGTCTTCCAAATCACTCCTCCAACCCCATTTTCTCTTCCCTTGCAACCAGACCCACAAACTCGTTTTCTCTCTCCCCTCCGGTACTAGATCCCACCAACCAATCTCCGTCTTCCACGTGATGGAGCTTGCCAAAACCCTAGTCATCATCGAAAAGACTCCCAAATCATCTGCACTACCGCCCACTGCGGTGCCATTTGGGAAATGGGCAGTTGATAGCTGGAAATCCAAGAAGGCTTTGCAAATTTTGAGTACCCAGATGAAAATGAGCTTGAATATGTGGTTAAGACCATTGAGGTCTTCCCTCCAATCATTTTTGCCCGTGAGGTGAGGAGTTTGGACGAAAAGCTTGTTGATGCGGCGTTGGGGAACGCTTTTCTGTTGCAAGGAGGGGTTTGTGCTGAGAGTTTTCAAGGAGTTCAGTGCTAATAATATTCGTGACACTTTCAAAATTATTCTTTAGATGAGCGTTGTTCTCATGTTTGGTGGACAAATGCCTATTATTAAGATAATGAATCTTACACCTTTATATGGATCTCTATATATTTTTTTTCCTTTATTATGTGAAGATATATCCAGATGGAATGAATTTAAGTTGTGGGTATTGATTAATTTTCATGGGTTTCCAAAAATGTTGGCCTATTTCATTGATGTTGAATTAATGGGTTCTTAGATTTATAGTTTTTCTATACATTTCTTTCTGTTGGCATTATGGATTGAGATTAAAAGTAAATAAAAATTTTGCAGAATTAATTTTGGTCCATCACAAGGGTTTTCAAGAGTATTTTTGGTTATATGAAAATTGGGAACTTGAGAATTGTGATTTTGAATTGTGGGCTTGATTAATTTAGGTGGGAAGAATGGCGGGTTAGTTCGCCAAGCCGAGATCAGATCCATTGGAGGAGAAGAATGGAGTGAAACTGCCAAGTTACAAGGGAGACAATATCAATGGTGATGCTTTTAATGAGAAATTGAGAATTCCGAACCCTCAAAGGATGATAAGGGCTTATTGCTAAGTTGCGACAACTCTGAACCTTTTTAGAGCCTTTGCAACTGGAGTTTATGTTGCGATGCAAAGGGTCACACGGTGGAATCTTGATTTTGTGAAGCACAGTAAGCAGGGAGATAGGTTTGTATAAGAAAAAGGGATATGGATATACTTTTGACATAATTCCATTTGCTTGTGCTTTTTCGGGCTTTGATTATGTGGCTATATTCAGACTAGACACTGAAAAACAGGTGAATACATGAACATTCTTATTTTTGTCATAATATTAATTGATAATGATCAAAAAGTAAAAAATAAATAAAAATGGTAACCATCAATTCTCAAGCCAAAAATGGAGAGAGAATTGGATATGATTCAAGGGTAAAATGGTCAATTAATGTCAAAAGTATTAGATGTTTAATAAAAAATTATAGTTTGTTCATATCCTAACTCCATCATAATGCACTATCCAAAGCAAGGATTAGATAATACAATTTTCTTTTATCCCCCTATAAATCCGGCCCATTGAAATTTCACTAGACTAGTTTAGAATTTAAATCCAAGTCAGTCCAGTCTATCCTGAATTATCAAACACACCAAAAAATGTGTGGGCCAACTATTTTTTCCACACCGATGTTACCAAACCACCCTGCCCCTTACCAAACAGCCCTTTAAGGGTTTAGGGTTTTGGTTAACCGCCATTGTGCAACCCGTCTGCTCATTACTACAGAGAACCACGCAAAGCAGAAATCAGACACTACGACTCAGCAAACCCAGCTTCCCTAACACCAGTACTATCGTTCCGTAAACATGAGGAAGAAGGTCGATGAACGAATCAGAACACTCATTGATAATGGCGTCAAAACTAGACACCGTTCCATGTTCGTCATCATCGGGGATAAATCCCGAGACCAGGCACTCTTTCTTTTCTCTTTATATATATAGAAATCGGTGATTTGATGAGAAGTTTAAGTCTTGATTTGAGTATAAAATTGAAGTCTCCCTTGATTTGATATGATTTTACGAGGTTTTTGGGCTATCTTTATTCAAATTTAAGTATGGGCCTAAAAAAGGGTAAGGGTTGGAGATGCTTTAAGCAGTGTATATATAGTCTGTAGTTCATTATTGATAATCGATGTGTGTATTAATTTGAACAGATTGTGAATCTGCATTACATGTTAAGTAAGGCGGTGGTGAAGTCTAGGCCAAATGTTCTCTGGTGCTACAAGGACAAACTTGAACTCAGCAGGTTCTTTCTCTACCTGTATAGAAATTTTATATATTTGTTTATTGTTGTTTTGTGATGTTCTGTTTCATTGCAGTGGAGATTCTAAGTGGATACTATAATGCATGAATAATTTTGTTTGTTATCAAATAAATGAATAACTCCTGTTCGTACAAAACTTAGGCCAAGTTTCTCCTTTTTTTGAACTGTTTGAAAGACTTAACAGTTAATATGTTCAAAAATTGTACTGAGAAAGTTAGTTTTGTGAAGCGCCACAGTGGACGCCACCGAGAATTTGGAGGTTGAATAGATGCGGCTTTATTCACACTAGTTCTGATATTCTTTAAAAAATATGATTTAGATAAAATATCACTCATTTATACGAGATTCATATGAACTATAATGTTGGGTGAACAGTCTGTTGGAATGACCTAAAAACTGATAAAAAGAAAAAGAGAACAGCCAATGGTTATCTGCTTTGCACAGTTTCGACTTTCAACTTAACAGTCATTTATGTTTTTGCCTTACATGATGTTGTGGGTCCTTTTTTTTGGGACAAAAATGAGCTACCAAGAGAATTGGTTTATCAGTTATGATTGGTTTATTGTGTTTCCTCAGTCATAAGAAGAAACGTGCCAAGCAGGTAAAAAAGTTGATGCAGAGGGGACTGCTGGATCCTGAGAAGGTTGACCCCTTCTCGCTTTTTGTTGAAACTGGAGGAATAACGTATTGCTTGTACAAAGATTCTGAAAGAATTCTTGGGAATACTTTTGGCATGTGTATATTACAGGTACATTGGAAGTACCCAATGGACATTTATTGGAGATCTAAATTTCTAATGTAGCATCTCCAATGATTTATGGTTCATGCTCAACATTTAAAAAAAAAAAAATTATTTGCCTTGTTGCAGGATTTTGAGGCTTTGACACCAAATCTCCTAGCGAGAACTATAGAAACAGTGGAGGGTGGGGGATTGATTGTATTGCTGCTTCGTTCTCTTTCCTCTCTCACACGACTGTGCACCATGGTCATGGTATGAATCACTTTTGTCAATTGGCACGGCTCTGCTGGCTGGAATTTTTTAAGTAATTGAGAAGTTGCGAAACACCAGTTTCTGTTTATTTTTTCAGTCCCCCTTCCCTTTTTTTTTTCACCCAGTTTTCTTGTCTTTGACCTCGATCTAAAACTTGTGAGGGGCTGTCAGAGATAGATAACGTGTGTTTTGCTTTGGATTTTGTATCGAGTAAATGAAAGGGGGCAATGCATGGATTCGAATATGAGACAAGAGTCGAGACAACTATTTTGTGCATGCAATGTCAAATGTTAAGTTTATATCCAATCCATTTGTCACAACACTTTGGGTGTTTGGGACGAAACTGGGTGATGACTTTAAGCAAATAATATTTCACCGAAAAGCGAAAACCACAACGGAATAAAATAAATTATAAAAAAAAGAAAAGAAAAATATAACGAAGACAGAAATTCAAAACATCTGACCTCCTAAATCCTCCCTGCCACACCGAATAGAAAGGTTAAAAAAAAAAAGTCCAGACAAAATTAAAGAGGAAAATATAGAAATAGATCAGATTGTATGGATGTAATTTATTACTTAGGCAATCAATTAATCTTGAAAAGGCACTTTTCAAACTTTTCCGTGTAAGTTAGCAACTTTTTTTTTTTTGGGGGGGCTTTGGTGTGTATATCGGTTGGTGCTTAAGTGGTTGTTTAAACACTTACCGCAGTTTGCTAATTACAGGATGTTCACGAGAGGTTTCGTACAGAATCTCATTTGCAGGCTGCTGGGCGCTTTAATGAACGGTTTTTACTATCACTTGCATCATGCAAAGCATGCGTAGTTATGGACGATGAGCTAAATATTCTGCCGATCTCTTCACATATGAAGTCAATTTCTACAGTTGCTTTAAGAGAGGTAACCTTCTTGCTTCCATAGACTTTTTGGCACGTTAAGTGCTAAGTTTGTTCTGTTTGCGTATTGCACTGTGAGTTAATCATTTTTCAATTATAGGAGTAAACAGTGCTCTAACGCTTGATATTGACTTTTTAAGATTCTCTTAGAGCTCTCTGTGTTTAATTGCGTTTTTCCCTCCTTCTTGTGATGGAAGGACTCTGAGGGCCTTTCAGAAGCGGATCAAGACCTAAAAAATCTAAAAGAACAACTGAATGATGATTTTCCTGTTGGTCCTCTTATTGGGAATTGTTGTACACTGGACCAGGTATAAAATTGTTTGCTTGAACTCTTACCAGATTCATATTCTCAAAATTATATGACCAAATCAAATCTGTAGTGCGCAGGCTAATTATTTGGCATATTTGAACAGGGAAAAGCTGTCATTACATTTCTTGATGCTATTTTGGACAAGACACTTCGTAGCACAGTTGCTTTACTTGCGGCTCGTGGCCGTGGGAAGTCAGCCGCACTTGGTCTGGCCATTGCTGGAGCTATTGCTGCGGGGTAAAATGCTTTATAAGTTGTATTGGTGTATTGATGGTCCCATTGACTTGTCCCCGGTTGCTGCCATTCCCAACGTGTCTCGGCGTAGGCCGCATCAGTTATTTTGACATGGCCATCTTCTGATATGAAAAATCTGTCTGTAGGTATTCAAATATATTTGTCACTGCACCCAGCCCCGAGAACTTAAAAACATTGTTTGACTTTGTATGCAAGGGATTTGACAAGCTCGAGTATAAGGTACAGTGTTTTCTCTGCTTTTTGTTGGAGTATGAATATGCTGTGTTGTCTTGTCTAATCATGTCATCACTCTGAACCGGCTTTCTGGAAGTCCTTACAATTTGAAAAGGAGAAAAAAGGAGTCTATAGTTTAGAGATGTTGCTGAACATGTAGTTTGGGATTTCAATGGTTCAAAATTTCTTGTCATTTTCACATGCATAATTTAAATGGGGGGTGTTCTTTATTAATGTCAGTAGTCTTGTAAAAATTATCTTACTCTGCAACCATCGAGATCCACTGAGTTTTTTAAGTGCTTGGATTTCCCTACATGATTTGAACAACTGAATGCTGGTTTTTATTTAAGTCTCAAATGTGATATGCATGATCTGTTACATAACAAGAGAAATTATAGACCTTTGATATATCCCCACACCTTTTGTTTGCAGGAACACTTAGATTATGATGTGGTGAAAAGCACCAATCCGGAGTTCAAAAGAGCGACAGTGCGGATCAATATCTACAAACAGCACAGGCAGACAATCCAGGTAAACGAGCATTCTCTTTATTTTACAATAGTGGTGGTTTCATTTAATTGTCGATCCCTTGGGAAACCATGGTGTTGCTGATATATGAGGCCCCATTTATTGTCTTGAAAGCAACATTATATGTTGTGGCTGGCATGGAGAGTGGATCGTTATATATAATGCATATCACAGTTATGAAGTAGCAAATGTGAATAACTCTCTGTCTTCCTCAATAGTATCCTTCTTTTATAAAAAAAAAACCTTATTATCTAGGGTTTCTGTCTTCTGGTTGGTCCTTGCTATGACCCTTCGATTTTTGCCATTTGGTTGCTTGAGGTTAGGGTTTATGTATGTGATGATTGGGGGTGATTCCTTCATGGGTTGTGCTTGGGCTTAGGAGTCATTGAAGAGAGTTGGGGGTATTGGCATTGCATGACAGAATTACACATGAAAGGAGAAAATTTGAGCTTGCCCTTATCAATGACTACCAAGATCATCACACTTTTGAATATATTCTTCATCACTTTTAAACAGAATCTTCATTTTCTTCATACTTTATGGGAACATTTAATTAAAGCTCAGTAACATATTGCTCCATGATGCAATTGACAAAACTGGAAACAAGACTTGCGTCATTCAGCAGATGTGGTCTGCTACTGGTTTTTTTTTCTTCTGGTGGCTGTGTTTGTAGTGAAGAAAGCTGTCTCTTCTTTTACTTAGTTAGCTTGGAGTCTTAGTTATTGATGCTTTCTTTTTACATATAAGATGTTTTCGATTTTTTTTTTTGTTAAATTTGTTTTTCTTGTCCTTCTTTATTGGCATACGCTTCTTTGTTTTGCCCTTAGCTTGACACTTTTGTTAGCTTGCTCTTATCAATGACTCTTCTTTACCTCGATTGTCACACTTTTGAAGATCATCTTCATCACTTTGAAATGGAATCTTCATTTTCTTCATACTTCATGGGAACATTTACACTAGAATTACAACTCAATATCCTATTGTTCCACAATGGACTTGACAAACCTGGAAACAAGACTTGCGTCGTTCAGCAGATGTGGTCTGCTACTTCGTGTGTTTTCTGGTGGCTACCTTTCTAGTGAAGAAAGCTGTCTCTTCTTTTCCTTAGCTAGCTTGGAGTCTTGGTTATTGATGCTTTCTTTTTATATATAAAATGTTTTTGATTTTCTTTTTCTTCTTTTTTTAAATTTGTTTTTCTTGTCCTTTTGTATTAGCATTACTTCTCTTTCCCCCCCCCCCCCCTCTTGACGCAGTGGTAGGCTTTACTTCTTAGGATGGTAATCATTAAACAACATAGAGAGGAAAAGAATGGAGAAAGGTATAGGAACCATGCTATGTTGATGTGAAGGTCTTAAAATAATGAATGATATGTCTTGAGCGTTAAGTTGAGGTCGCAGCGAAATAACGATAGACTTTGACCACCATATCACATGGAGAATTGATGTAGAGATATCCTCTCTGATATAGAATAGTGAACTCAGGAAAAATAAATGAAAACTCATGGGATTCCTGATTAGCCATGGCCTCTCTCACCCTACATCCCTTTCTTCTTTTGGATTTTTTTCCTTTTGGGGTCGAGGACTCCCGACCCTGGTGCGGGGTGCATGTTTGTGAGGAGTTGGACTGTTTTTCCCTTAAACAATAAGCTCGGGGTGGGAGTTGTGTCTTTTGGGTTAATTTCAAAGCCTCACTGGAACTCAGTTAAACTTGTGTTTAAAAGCCAAAAAAGATGCAAAAGTTCTTCCAGATATTATTCATACATGGACAATCTGCCATAGGAAATTCTGCATATTTTTTTAAAGGAAATAAGTCCACGTATTATCAAATCTCTTGAATGCCATCCTTTAAGTGAAGTACAAATCGTAATACATCTGACATCCTAGTCATTACTCATTTGATTATCACATTCCAATAATGCTCTATATTTTACTACTTGAGACCTGCAGTTTCTTAGCTTAGAGTGCTTTTGTAAGTGAAGGATTCCTGACAGGACTTGTACTTTTGTAACATTGGATTAGTTATTTTTACTTTGCTAGAGATGCAAGACATAGTGTTTGTTTTGTAGGGATCACTGGGAGTAAGAGAAAAGGAAAGGAATATTTTTTGGGGGAAGTAAGGAATGGGGATGGATGGGTGGAAGTTTTTTGGTTTGGAGGGAAGGGATTTTCCTCAAAGTTCCTGAAATCCTTTCCTCATAAAGTGGAGGAAAGGTGGAATAAAAAAGGCTTCCTATTTAATCCTTTGGCCTTAAAATAAAGCGAGCCATAATGGTAAAATCAAAAAAATCCATTTTCTTTCTTTCACCTTTGTTTCATGCTGAACCAAACAAAAGTAGGAAAAGGTTGATTCCTGTCCTTGGAATCCTTGTTCCATGCCTCCTACCTCCTTTCCTTCTAGTTTTCCATTCCTTAAATTCTGGCTGGGAGTATACTTGTGTTTATTAGTGTCGGGAGTCCTCTTCTTTTGATAACTACTGCTTCAGTTTCTATTTTTGTTTAAATGTCATTGCAGTATGTACAACCACATGAACATGAAAAGCTCTCTCAAGTTGAATTGTTGGTGGTGGATGAAGCGGCAGCTATTCCGTTGCCAATTGTCAAGTCTTTACTTGGCCCTTATCTCGTCTTCCTTTCATCTACTGTTAATGGGTATGAGATTTTTTCGCGCTATTTTTTTTATTAGAGACTCCAACACTTTGTCATATTTTTTTACTAGTCATAACCCGTGCACGATTGAACATAAAATTCGATTGCCTAAAAAATTGATCTCATTATATTAAATTTTCTTAACATATATACACTATTGTGTATGGATAATGTCTAAAATAAAAATTATGTTAAATTACAAATTAATCAAATATTAAATGATTGAACATGTGGTAGAAATTGATTGATGTGATGTTTTTAGGGGGAAAAAATATGTAGGGGATAAAAATTCAAGTTGTTAGGTGTTTTATTATATAGATTGTTGGCATTATATGTTTGTCCATTGTGGTCTTCTGGTGTTGGAGGATAGTCAAAAAGCATGGAAGCTGCTAATATTTCGTCGCTTTTCTCTTCTTTCCCTCTACATGCATGGAAGGTACTGATATGCTTTGTCCCTTATTTCCTTCCCCCAAGCTATGAAGGTACTGGACGGTCTTTATCGTTGAAACTACTGCAGCAATTAGAGGAGCAAAGTCAGGTGTCTGCTAAAAGCGTGGAGGGCACCCTTTCTGGTATTTCTAGCTTCACTTTCCGTTTGTCCTTTGAATCAATATCCTTCTTGCATGCTTGTCAGTTATTAGTTTGAGTGGTGCGTAGATGTTGAAAGAAAGAGACAAAAAGTTTCTGATGAGGTTTCTGTTATAGCCTGGTGAAAGCCAGTGACAGATATTGGTGAGGGGTGGCACAGTGGCACTCTAAGTTTGTGGAATCACATTATATACCCGCTTTTTTATTAATGAAATCAATGTTTCTTATCAAAAACAACATTATATATTCACTTCTATATCATTTTTCCCCGAATTTTGATACTAATTTTCCCCATTCCTAACCCAAGCAAGCCCTAATTTATATAAACATTAATGTCCGGATCCCAAGGGAAATTCCTGGATCTGTCACTGGAAAGAGCAGACCAAGATGTTTTGTGATCATTGTAGGTTACGTCAGTCGTCCAACCTCACAAAATTTAAGATTGCGTTTTTCTTCAAACAGCCTTATTGTCCAACTGTCTTGATCCGTATATTCAGTTTTAATAAGTAAAAATTACTTTTACTTTTTTGTTTATTTCTGCTTATATGTCCGTGGGCAGGACTAGCTTTGATGAACCTATCATATAATCACCTCTCAGCAAATGATATATCATACTTCCATGTTCAAGAGTAATTTATAAATATATTTGGAGTGGAGTGATGCTAAACATTTGAGGAGTTAAATGTGTAGAATTCAACCTCAACTTTGTTATAGCTCCATGTTGTTCTATTCTGGCAAGTCATCCTGGAAAGGGAAACACATTTTTTTAACATTACTGCACCGTCTCTATGATTTTGGTGCTTCTGCGATCATATTTTACTATTTAATGGCCTTTTTAGTTTATACTATGAAAATGATTCAAAAAGAAAGAAATTAGCTATAATGTTGACATCATATGGGTGGTTCTTAGTTTCAATGATTAATTAGTTTGTCATTACTATGCCTGGATTGCTCCATTTTAATCTAAAGATCCCCCCCCAAAAAAAAAAATCATGCATTTGCACTGCTTTTTGTAGCACACTCTTAGGTTCTGCTGTTGTTCCCAGTTTGATTTATTTAGTTTGCAGATGAGCAAATATATTCTCTTTTAATTTCCTTTATTGGGAAATTTCTTACACGTCTATTTGCCCTCAAATGTAGGTCGACTTTTCAAGAAGATGGAGTTGAACGAGTCTATCAGATATGCTCCCGGTGATCCAATCGAATCCTGGCTTCATGCTTTACTTTGTTTGGATGTCACAAATTCCATCCCCAATATCAACAGGTTTGTAGTTGGAACTTAATTGTTGAAGATGCTGTGGAGATAAAACCATCATCTTTGTCTTTATTGACTCCTTTTTTTTCCCAACAAGGTTGCCTTCACCTAGTGAGTGTGATCTCTACTACGTTAATCGGGATACACTTTTCTCATATCACAAAGATAGTGAGTTATTTTTGCAGGTGATGACATGTTTTTTAGCTTATTATCAATTGCTTTTTCAGTGGATTGGTGCTTATATGACATAATGTATGCAGCGAATGATGGCCCTCTATGTTGCCTCTCACTACAAAAATTCCCCAAATGATCTGCAATTAATGGCTGATGCTCCAGCACACCACTTGTTTGTGCTACTTGGTATACGTGTCCTGAATAATTAATTTTTTTTTGGTGATTTGGTTTCAATTGTCAATGTACTTATACTCGTTCTTTGCAGGTCCAGTTGATGAGTCAAAAAATCACCTTCCTGATATCCTGTGTGTCATCCAGGTTTTCTTTTTTCTCAAATGACATGGACTTACTCATTTTTGATCGTGTATCTGATAATGATCTTGAGCTATTCTAGAAATCAATCTCCCACACATTGGACTTTTTCTTTGTATTTGAGACATTTGACGTCTGAAACACTGCTGTACTGACCTTATTTTTCGCCTTAGCAAACTTTTGTGATCTGTGACAGCATCTTTAAAATTTGTTTCCCTGAGAAAATTTTCTTCACTTGAATGTTCATGATTGCTGAACAAAGTTTTTGCTATTTAACTGCAGCCTTTCTCTTAATTATTTAAACAGATGATGTAACACTCGGAGGCAAGTTATATTCCAATGTTTTTGATAAGAAAGGAGGACAGTGCCTCTTGCTTTTAGGATGATAATCTAGAAGAAAAGAGATTTTTGAAGTAAATAATTTACACACCATTGAGTAAAGCAGACACGCGTACTCTGAAGTTGGTTGAGACAAAAACTCAATGATATATTGGCTTCTCTCTGTTCTTTAGATATTTGTAGGATGTAGAATGCTAATACAAGCCTCAGGAATTCATACAGTGCCTTTACAACCTTCGAATGAAGATGTAGTGATTATAGAAACTATTTTTCTTTCTTGTAGATATTGGTTTCTGTTTGCAAAGTTTTGTCCTGTGTTTTGACGCTTTTGACCGTCTCAGATGATTTCTACCATACCAATGCCCAAAATTTGGAAGTAGTTAGAATAATGCTTGTATCTTTTATATCCATTAATTCATCTACAGGTGTCTCTCGAGGGACAGATTTCTCGTATATCTGCCATGAAAAGTCTAAGTGATGGTCATCAGCCCTTTGGAGACCAAATACCATGGAAATTTTGTGAGCAGTTTGAGGACACAGTTTTTCCAAGTCTTTCAGGTGCTCGCATTGTACGCATTGCCACACATCCAAGTGCAATGAGGGTAATTTCTCATTTGTGTAAATTGAGTTACTTAAACCTAGATTTTGTTTAACCCTGTCTCTCTCTCTCTCTCTCTGTCATGTATTATCCTTATTTTTTCCCTCTTATTGCAGCTTGGTTATGGTTCAGTTGCAGTGGAACTTTTGACAAGGTATACCCTTTTTCCCTATGTCTCTTGTACGTCTTATCCTGTGGCTTTGAAGGATTGCGCTTTCTCCCCATCTAATTTTATACTCTCGTGGTTGCTTTACCAAAATCCTCCCTCGTTATTGACTTCCCACCCTTCTAGAAATCTGAGAAATTAGAAGCTGTGAGATGCACATCTACAGTACCTTTATGGACAGAATGAGAAATGCGTTACTCAAGGAAAAAAATTTCGTTTACATCTTAATTGCCGAAAAAAATTAGATGTACATCTTACTTTCCCAGGAAAAGATTTTTTTTTGATATGCATCATACTTGCTGGAAAAAGTTAATTATACATTTTAATTACCGAAAAGATTTTAGATGTAGATCCTACTAAGCTATACGTCTTACTCTCCTGGAAAAAAAAATTAGATATACATCGTACTAACTAAAATATTAAATTTAAGACTACTTAATTAATGTTATTAGATTGACAATAAATTTTAATATTAATTAGGACTTATTATCAATTTATGGACAATGACTAATTAGGTCAGTAAATTAAATTAAAGAAATATATTCAAAATATAATATTGTATTCAAATGGTCAAGACGTTGTTTGGACGAAATTATAGATTAGTTTTAACTAGTGGGCTTTTATCCCTTTTTTTTTTGTTTGGGGGGTTGTTTTGAATTGGATTTTTTAATTAAAATTTGGTGTAAGATGATAAATTAAATCTTTTAAAATTTGTTATCAATATTATGTGTTATATCATATGTTTTTCCTTTTTTTTAAGTGTGTCAAATCGTTCCTTTAAAGTTAAAATTTTTTTAGTGTTTCTGAAATGTTTATGGAAAATTTCTCTTTTTAAAGCAATCAAACATGTACTCAAAAAAAAACTTTGAACCATGGGTATAGTTCTTATTTTATTTGGGTTTAAGATAGATGAATTTTGATTTCTGAAACCACAATGGGAGATTTTTTTTTTTTTTGACAAACTTGAATAAAAAATGTCGACAATGTATCATTTCATGATAGATGTGATGGGGTCCGATATCAACTGAAATATTTCGTGTCATCGCAAAAGGGTTTGATTGAACTGGTTAAAAAGCTTCAAATTCTGACTATTCTGATTGGTCCTTATTGTTTTAGTTACCATCACATGTTCCTTGTTTCCTTCCCCTTCTAAATGCCATTTTATTGTGGTTATCTCCGGTGTGATTGATGCTGGGGAGACAATTGAAAGAGTGTTACGTGATTTGTGAGATTTAGTAAAGGACGACTTGAAGTTTTATAACCTTAGCATTTGTATGACTCAGGGCCCGTATTTAGGTGGGATATGTTTGCTGCCGACTCCAAATCTGCTGGAATGAGGCTTGAAATGAAGCTGATCTTGCTTTTTCTTTACCCTTGCATAATTTTTCTGTCTTTTTGTGCAAGCTTGGTAGTAAATTACTGTTTAGTTTTCAGGAAATCCTGAATTCAGAAAATGCTTGTTATAACTAGATACTCGCCTTGTTGGGCAAAATTGTCGTCTGCTGTGACCCATCCCAACTGATAGATAACCGAAAACCTCTTGAAGTAATACAAACATGACTGCTTAATGCTTATTCTAACCTATTAAGTGTACGGGGAGAAAGTTTCTACTGCAGCAACAAGGAGAATTTTTTAGTTTTCTGAAATTTGGAAGATTTTTATTTACACCAATTTGTTTTGGCTCTTGTAGTCTTGTTTATGGAACATTGATCAATTCACAGATTTTAGAAGTATACAGTCTTTTAGGTGCTTTGAAGGGCGTCAGTAATTACTTTTTTCTTGATTTAGGTACTTTGAGGGACAGCTGACTCCAATCTCCGAAGTAGATGTTGAAGACACTCCCGACTCTCCATATGTCAGAGTTACCGAGGCTGCAGAGAAGGTTAATTTGAAAAATTGGATCTGGTTTCGCATGGTTATTTCTGTGTTATTATTACTGTTTTTTTTTTGACAAGTGATGCTTAGAGTAGCATGTGTAAGATTTTTCTGCTTAATGGATGCTTGTACATCTTGAATTCTTTCATTATCGACTAGATGTAGCTGAGAGGAAAAGCTTGTTTGAAGTCACATATTGAGGAAATGTTGCTCTGGAATTATCTGTTCCCATAACCTTCGATTTTCTCCTTACGTTGAAGATTATATCCTTGCAGGTCTCCTTGTTGAAAGAAAATATAAAACCTAGGACAGATCTTCCGCCTCTTCTTGTACATCTCCGTGAACGACAACCAGAAAAGCTCCATTACATTGGTGTCTCATTTGGGCTTACACTGGACCTTTTCCGCTTTTGGAGGAAACATAGATTTGCTCCATTCTACATTGGCCAGATTCCAGTTAATATCTTTAATTTTCATTACCTACTTATCACAGTACTATTCTAGTAGATATGTTCTCTGGAGGATTTACAAGTGGTCTGGCATATCTTCTCATTGATACAGAGTACTGTGACCGGTGAGCACACATGTATGGTCCTGAAGCCATTAAATAATGATGATGTTGAAGCAAATGGGGCAGATCAATGGGGCTTTTTTGGTCCTTTTTACCAAGGTTGGTCCTTTTTCTCAAGCAAGATGTTAAAAATTACTCTTGAACTCCAAAGCAAGGATCAAAATTTCATTTTGGTGCATAGTTTTAGTGAGCTTGGAAACGGAAACATAGGAATTTTAATATTTAATCAATGATTCGTTTCGGTTTCCATGGAAACGGAAACGTTTCGACCGTTTTGAAATTAAATTTAATTCCTTGCTCCAGAGATTGCCTGGTTAAATATTAACCTTCTGTGGACTGTTCTCAGACTTCAGGCGGAGGTTTACTAGACTGTTGGGATCTAGCTTCCGTGCAATGGAATACAAGCTTGCTATGAGGTCTGTATATGATATCTCAGCTTCTTAAGTTTATTAGTTTTACTCTTCAATATGCTCATGCTACCTATAATTTTGTAGTGTTTTGGATCCAAAAATCAACTTCACAGAACCAGAGCCTGCTTCAGATGGATTTTTGAAGTTACTTGATGAAATTTTATCACCATACGATATACAGAGATTAGAAGCTTACACGAATAATCGTGCTGATTTTCACAAGGTAAGATCTCCAAGTGATGGTTAACACATCGTTGTTTTAGGATTTTTTTGTATCGGGAAAGCAAATACCATCTTATACGTTTGAATTTTTTAGTGATTAATTTTTTGAACACAGAAAATGCCTGTAAGCTTCAAGTTATCAGAACTAGCCATAGGAAGGCTCTCAACCCAAACTATTTGGGTTTGGCTACTAATGTTAGGGAGTGGCATCCTTATGAGTCACCTACATCTCCATGCCTAGGTTCCGTACCGAAAGGTACTACTATAATGGGAAGGTTGTACCTTTAAAATGTAACTTTACCTCTGGTAAAGGGAATTTCATGAACGATCATGGGCTTCCCCTGAGCCATTGTAACTTCTCATGTGGAGTTGTGACTTGACCTTTAAAAATTGTAACTTTACCTTTAAATATTGTAGATTCCATGATTGATCGCAATGTTTTAGGACCGATCATGCCCTTTGCAAGTTATAACTTACACCTAAAAAAGTTATAACTTAAATCTTCAAAAGTTGTAATTTTCGTTTCGGTACCGATGGCGGTACCGTAGTCTTTCTCCTTCATTATATCTTTTTTTCTTCTTTTGGTTTTTGAATCACTAAACAAATTATGAAGTTTGGAGACGAGGAATCCTGAAAAGTGATCTTGCAAATCCTGAATGAGTTCATGGGAAATTTGGGAACCATTCTTGATATAATGGTCTGATCATTTAATATCACTGAGATAAAGATAAGAGGTCAGGGAGACATTGATGCAAGCATATATCCGCCACAGGTATACGTCAATAAAAGAGTCATAATTTTGTTGTTTGATCTACATATTGGGTGGGCATTTTGATCTTATTAAGTGAATTGGATGGTAATGTGCTAGTTGCTTGGCTTGTTTACCTGAAGGGGACACTCATTGGCCTTAATTCAGGGGGTTCTGTGCAACTTACCCTATCTTTTATGACTGCCTTTTTATCAATTTAGGATATGTCTTTTTTGTTAACATGCTTCAGCATTCACATGCTTCAGTCAGACTCCCTGCAGTCCCTGCCCCATTGGGATGTTGGAAGATCACTTGAACTCTGCCTGTTCAAGCACATTTGTCATTTGTCAGCTTGACTAAGTCAAGCTTCAGCTCCAAATTTGCTGCGGAATCAAGCAGGGTTTGGTCAGCCAGCAGCTCAACTTGGTTTGGGTCAAATAGTTTGTTCTGCCTTAGGTTCTTCTTGTGAAATGTAAGAAGAGAGGTTAACAAAAGAAGTAAATCTATATCCTTTCACAAATGTGTCTAACTATTATTCCATTTTGTATGCATGAAACAGCTGCAATCAAGAGGCAAGATAAGCATGTTGTCCTTACACCTCAAGGCTTTAATGCCACAACAAATTTAAAATTTCTAGAACTAAAAATTAAGACTATCCTAGTAGATCTTCTAAAGACAGAACTTGCCGAGACCTCAACTCTTTACCTCATAGATTTCGGAAAACTGTCTTCATGGGTTTAGAGGATCTAACACTGATTATGACATCTCAGAAAGCCATTGCTCTGTCTCAATCAGCTCTTGGCTCGCTATGGTGCCTACATGCATCTATTCAACTATAGAAAAAGGACTATAATATAAGCACATCTTTATCTGTACCTGTACCACCAACCGTTTCTGATTTCTGAAAATCAACTACTTATGAGTGGTAGCCAGGGTATTTCTACCAATTTAAATTATCTTGGAAGCTCATTTAAAACTTTGAGCTGAGCTGGAACATGATAAATTAAAATCCAAGCCAGAACTAGGTCACCTTTTAGCACAATCCGTTGGCCCAGCTGAACTTGAGCACTCCAGAACTTGGCTTTGTTTACTTGTTTTCCCATTCCGTTCTTGTTTAGATTGCTCATAAGGCTCCAATTTCATTAGTTTACAATTAAAATTGGGCCATTCCACTAAGTTGCACATGCAATTGGTTTCTGTGGTGGTCAACCTTTGTATAGACCACTTTTAAGGTATTGCATGCTCTCTTGCTATATTATTAATGAATCTATTTTCGTGGTAGTTACTTGATTCTAGCCATGAGAAAGCAGGTCTATGTGGAATGTTTGAAGCCGAAAAGAAATGGAGAGATTTCGGGAGGGCGCTAATAAGTATTAGCCATTTAAAAATGGAAGTTCATAATGAAGGAAGAATGATCTGCTCTCTCTCTCTCTCTCTCTTTCGGTTGGAGTGCAAAGGGCAAATGATGAGAGAGAATCTTCTTAGGTTTCCTCTTTGGAGCACGTCACTTATATTTACTTTCTTCAGAGCCATAATTCAATTCAAATCTTTAATTATAGCAGGTCATTTGGTGCCGAAGCCAACTTGGTGAGACTGAAAGCAAGTTATGCTTTGGAGCATAAGCCATTTTAGAGTTTGATCTCTGAGAGTAGCCAAGAGGAACCAACCCCAAATTTAACCAGATTAAAACTATTTTAAGCCATTTTTGTGTTTTTGTACACAACTGAGAGTTGCAAGCCTACAAGAAGAAATAACATAACTGGAGTAAATTGGGTGGGAACATTATTTTATTATTGACGAGTACGGTTCACGTGCAGTTGAGATTCATGTTAAGTATTCACTTCTCGATTTGTCTATTTAATGGCTGCCGTTCTTCGCACACCTTTAAATTCCTATTTTGTTTATAGGGCTAGTTATGCCACATTTAGAATAACCTTTGGACAGTGTCATTCTCGGTAATTTGGATTTCTGTAACTTCTTCAGGATCACTTCTCCATCCCACGGGTTCATGTTGTCATGATCTTCTTTTATCAAGTAGATCTAAGTCAACCAATAGTTGGAAATGAGAGTATAAGAATCTTTTTTTATCAGTGTATAGTATAAGAATGAATGATGGTTTTTGTGTCTTATAATCTTTCAGCAAGTAAATTGTATGTATTCTTCAGATTCTAGATCTCGTGCCAACCCTTGCTCGTCTTTATTTCCGGGAGAAGCTTCCAGTTTCAGTGTCATATACCCAGGCTTCTGTTTTGCTCTGCAGTGGCTTGCAGGAGAAAAGTATCACTTGCATTCAGGTTTGTCTTCATGACCTTTTTAACTAGTGTTCTCGTTCATTTATTTTTAAATTAACAAAAATTCATTGATTAATTTCTTGACATTTTCAACTATTTTGGACTGAATTAAGTCATTATCCATTTGTGCTGCACATCTAGAAATTCTTGTGTAGGAAGTTTTTTCTTCTCTGTTTTCTTTATTTTTTTCCCGACTCCATGCAGGGTGCAGAGTTCCAGGTAATGGTATAAGGTAATATTGTAGTTTTAATTATTAGATCTCCTGGTGCAATAGCATATGAATGTGGTTTCTAACTAGACAGTCATGACCCCCTATTCTGTGATCTTTCCGAGAGATTTGATGCAGACTGTCTAATATACTACAGTCACTCGTAAGTCAGATAAGAATAATTATGGGATGATTCTACAAACCAGATATTATTGCGTCATTCCATAAATTAGTTTTGGTCTACATGATCTCTTAGCCTCTTAGGTGATATTTTGCCAAGTTCACTACATTGTTGCTTCATGATCCATGGTTTGGGTCTAAGCTAGAGTGACGGTGCTCTCATCTCTCCATTGATAGGCTACAATCTATCGATTGTATAATTATGACTACTGCTGCTGCTGTGGTCAGAAACCTTTTAACAGAAGAAGAAAATTGAAAGGCAAGGTTATTGGATAAATTTTTCGCAATTTAGTTATGCCCTTTTACCTCTTGTTTTACAGGGAGAGATGAAGTTGGAAAGACAGCAGATATTGTCTTTGTTCATAAAAGTCATGAAGAAGCTCCACAAACATCTATATGGTATTGCATCAAAGGAGATTGATTCAAGTCTACCTCGACTGCGAGAAGTAAGTAGAGAAATAGAATGCTAATTATATTATAAGTTCTCATCCTGGTGCTTCTCCTTCCTTATCATTTTTTTTTTAATAATTTGTTTGTCTTTTGCTGTGTTGATAGACTAACAATAAGTCTATGCCTGAAGACATTCTTACTATAACAAAAATCGTACATTGATCGTGCAATATATATATTTTTTTAAATAGCAACTTATTATTCTTAAAGTAAACAAACAAAAAATAAGAAAAATGTAAGGGAGGGAGAAGAGAGAGGTAAATATGGATTAATGGAATTTTTGGGCATTGGGGAGTGTGTTGGTTGTTGAGTTGTCTGACATTAGGGACTATGCTGAGAAGATGATGTTTTCAAGTGGGAAAATATTTTGAGATAAATTTTGTACCATTTGATCTAAGTAGATGAAATTTAGATCTATCTCGACCGATGTTTTATTTTTATAAGTTGAGTATTTAACTTCCTAGTTGTGATATTAGATAAATTGATCGGGAATTATTAAAAGATTTGTACATGCTAGGCCTAAACTCTAGCCTGCATGTGAGAAGACGTGTTGAAGTATAAATATTTCAGTTACACACTCCTTTTAGAGCATAAGTTTTTAGAGTAGTTGGTTGTTTGACATACATTATGAAATTTCACATCTTGGAGGGTTCTTTTGTGGTTGCTGCTTCCAAACCCTACTTCGGTTTTGAACTGTTTTCAATGTTGATATTATGGAAACATTCAAAGACTGTCACACAAATGAAGTTATCACTTGCTAATCTATTTCTGCTACCAGTTTCTCTTTCAACATGTGAAAATATGCTTCTTCCTCTCTACAAGAGAGACATTGCTCTGAGTCGAAACTTCTTAGAAGCAGCAACCCCGTAATGAGAAGTGAGGACCATTATTACCATCTGTAATATTAGAGGTAGGGATGCCTGTTGAAAATTTGGAACGAATATTACCACTCGGCTGCTACCTATTTTCTGCTAGAAGCTTTCCGAGAACATTAGAGTTGCATGCTTGGCTTTGCATTGGAAAGGAGACATTTTGAGAGTAGGCTTGTTCAGGTTTTTATGGTGTGATCAAATATGATCTGATATGCAGACCTAAATAACAAATTGCAAATAAGGACAATCTAACATGGACAGATTATCAAAATTCTTTTTTGCCTCATCAGTTGACACTGTTATCTTGTTCACCTTGACATTTAGCTATATTTCTTTTTGATTTCAGGTTGTGATGAAACCCCACAGCGTATCCGTGGACGAAGATCTTAATGACGCAGCAAAGGAAGTCAAGGTTTGCTCAATATCTTCCACTTACCCCCCTCCTCCCTCTCTCTCTAGTAACTTGCAACATATGCAGGACGAGATGCAAGCCAAAATGGATGGTTTACTGGATCCAGAGCTCCTCCAACAGTATGCCATTGCAGACAAAGAAGTTGATTTTGAAAATGCTTTGCAAAACGGAGGAAAGATATCCTCGGGCGGTCTAATTAGCTTAAAGTCGAGCCGAAGTGGGCTGGAAAAACATGAGAAACAGAAAGAAAGCCACAAAAGTGGGAAGAAAAGAAATAAGGAAGGCAACAGCTCTAAATTAAACAAAAAGAGGAAACCTTGATCAGCATATTGGCCCTGTAAGTTACCAAGTTGGAGTATGCCTGCTTGTGAAAATAGAGACTGTGTCATTGTAATGTAGTTTCTTAGGTTCCCTCTCCCACCTATTTATTGGATGACAATGATCACCAATCAATTATCTGGGAGATGAAATTTTTGACATGAATTATGGTGGTAATACAACCCCTTGTATTTATTTATTTCTCAGTCGGATTTTGACCTATTGAGATTCATTTGTTGTCTTAAAAACAGTAATAATGCAATTAATATTAGTTATTTTGTCTTTTGGAAATGATTGGCGCATCGTTCTCTAATGGTTTTCAGCTTCTTTTTTTTGGGGGAGATATTCTAGGAGCACATTTTTTATCAAGATGCCCTATACAAAAATGTCGTCGATGTATTTGCGTAAATAAATATACATTAATGGCTTCCTTTTTAATTTTTTGAAATAGACATGCTAAAAAAATTATTCTCAATAATTTAGCAAGATATCACTCTAGCAACGATTGTATGTTATACTAATTACTGGTGGTCATACCTTATGATGCACGGAATTAATCTATTGTTATCGTTACTGTGCCCTAATCCTATCTAATCCTAATGTTATTTACAATTACCTATTTTGGTTAAAATGATTTTTTTTAAATGGGAAATAATTAAGAGGATTGAAAAATCAACTTTGAAGTAGTTTAAAAAAAGTGATGGGAGTTGTTACACTGGCTAATGGAATAATTAATTTAATTGGGAGAAGCAAATTAAATATTCAAAAATCTAATAATTAAAATTGGGGAGAATCCCACCCCATAATTTGTTTTTTTTTTTTTTTATATATAAATAGATTGATGTAATGTAATGTTAGTAAATAAACCATGACATTCAAGTTTGGGTCGATTTTGATTTGTTTAAGCTCGTTCGTATTTAAACATAAATCAAATATGATTAAATACTCTAAGTGAACATATAATGTAGAAATTGATACCAGATTGAGCAATAGTCCAAGATTGGTAACCAAGCAAAGCTTCAGCTAGCTGCCTGACCGTACCAACAATATTTACCAGTCCTAACTCCTAAATCCTAACCCAATGTCTAGCCCGGTACTCATCTCAGGTTTGGCTTAGTATTTTGATGCTCTAAGCACTTAATTTTTTCTGAAGATTTCATCACAATATATCTGATCTACTATGCACTTGCCCACCCATCATTGATTAGGAGCACGATAAATAATAGGGAAAATTAGAAGGAGATACACTAAATTGGAGTTAGTTGTAAAAAGGACATAGAAAAAAATGTAGAGTAAAAAAACACTTAATTTGATATTTATTTGTGTCCAAGTACATTATTTGAAATTTTCAAATTTTTTTGTATCATTTTGTCCTCCCTTGATCTATGCATAATTTTTTTGGAAAGTCGTACATTAAACATCTCCTAGTTTTATGGGAGAACTTTAATATTCCGTATTTGTATGTCCTCCCTTCATTTATGCATATTTTTTTGAAAAATGGTTTTGTCTTCAAATTATATTTAATGCACATTGATTCATGCGTATTTTTTTAGAAAGTGATTTTGTTTTCAAATTATATTAATATCCGAACTCTATAACAGTGTAACAAAACATTTACACAAAATATTGTACTATTACATTTTGTCAAACATATATTTTTATTCAAAACAATCAATCTCTTTTTTAAATTTGTTATCACATGCACAAAATCACTGAACATTGTTTTGTTACATTATTATGAAGTTTGGATATTAACAAATTTTGAAATTCAAACAAGTGATATATCCTAAAATAAATGAAATATTGAAGTTCTTCTATAAAATTAGTAGTAGTAAATAAATATAATTTGAAAATAAAATTATTTTCTAAAAAAAAATATACATGAATCAATGTGCATTAAAAATAAGTTATTTTGAATTAAATGATCCTAAATTTTAGCGCTTAAGATAAATGTCTTGTTACAATTTTAAAAAAGAAAATTTTACAAAATAGGAATTTATGTCTTTGTATCTCAATTGTGTATTTTTTTTTAAATATTTTATTCTGTGTATTTTTTTATAATTATATCTAATTTAATATACCGACTTTCAAAAGACCTTAAATAATACACCATGGTTCTGTTTGTTTAATGGGTTTGGGCAGCTGTGCAATGGTGGGTTTAATAAAACAGTCCAATAAACCATGATATCCCAGGTTTAATTACAAATCTGATGCCCTCGATTGAAATCCCGACCCCATTACAGTCCAATATATTTAATGCTTCAACGAATCTCATCAATAAATATATCCCACTATCATCTATTAGCCACAAAGCACTATTTTTTCAAATTACATCCCTCAATTATATCTCAACAGTATTACCGGAACGGAATGCATTGCCTAATTATGGTTGTTCTATGAAGATTTATCATATTTGATCAACTCTAATAGGAATGTAAAACAAGACTACAGTGCATGATTCTCCTACCACTATGAGAATTCAAGATGACTACATATGTAACCTCAGCCTTAGTCGCTGAGAGACTTTCTGTGACTCCAACTATCAAGTCAATGAAACAACCCAACTATTGTGCCAAGACCTGTCTCAATACGATTGTAACTCATCAAAATTGTTTTGATCCAAATTTGATCTGGAACCAGGATATATGATTATATCTACAAAAACATTTGAATTCCAGTTCCAAAAAACAGCATCAAAGTCCGGAAATGAACAGTAGATACTTGAGAAACAAGTGAATTCCAGTTACAAAAAAAAATTCCATAAATGAACAGAATTTGATAATTGCATTTTCAAATGTGAAGCCGGCCAGAGGCAACCCTCGGTGCCATCACTGCATGAAACTGGGAACACATAAACCAGCAACATATTAATCGAGTAGCAACTGTTGTCTCGCTTCCAAATACCTCCTTTCTTATTTTTAGAAAATAGAAAAAACGGCTCACTGCTCTAATAAACAATTGCTGGATTCCATCTTCCTAACAATTGTTAATTCAAAGCAAACTGATTAAAACAGCAAACTTAATCTCAGATGAAGTTTCGTATGTCCAGTGACTTCACATCCACCGCCTCCTCATCCTTGAATTCCTCACTGGAAATAGCAGGAAAAAGATTAGGCAATATGTCGTTTTCATAACAATCTAGCTGATGTGAACAGACAGCAAGACAATAAGCACCTATGAAAGTCAGATCCAGAAGAATGAAGATCACATAGTCCACACTATATTGCTAGATGCCATGCAAAGCAAGATCACAATTTCAAACTTCATCGGCAAAATTTAGCAGCCGAAAAAGTCCAATTTTTTCCTTATCAACAGACTACTTGAATCTTAGACCCCAGAGATTAATTAGAAATTTCAACATGCACATCCTGAATTATCACAACACCAGTGATCTTCTCCTGCTTAATGATATCAACATCTCCGAAACAGAGCCTCTCCTTTCTCCAAGGAGAAAAGACAAAAACCTACCACTTAAAAAACATCTTTAAATATGACCTCATTTAAAGGTCAACCCAACGACTTTACTTGCTAATTGTGTACTTCATTAGGCAACTAAATGCCAGGCATCTCCACCAAGCTTCCTGATATTTAACATAACAGAATCACATGACAATATGACAAGCTTTTTGCTTTGCCAAACACCAAGGCCTTCAGTCTATTCTCTACTTGCATCAACGTCAATATTAAGGAAATTTCAGTTGTTCTATTTTTCAATTTGTTTGCCAAGCTAAAACTCAACGCATGACATTAAAAGAGATGAACTATTGGTGGTTCAACCATGTAGGAACTACGCTCAAGCAGAAAATTGTTTCCGCCTTTCCCTTTGTTTTCTGACCTAACTAAGCAGTTTTATTTTATCATACACAAACTAAACACTATTAACACCAGAGGGATCAAGGAACTACAAAATGATTGAAGAAATGTATCGGTCAATTAAGAATGTTTTTTCCAAAAATAAGATGGTCAGTGAAGACACATACCGTTTCTTTTGAGTTTCCATTGCCTCAACAGCATCCTTCTTCAACTCCTCCAGTTGTGCTTTAGAGATTTTAAGTTCCAACTGTTCTTCATACTTTGGCAGATCTTCCCTCTGTATTCCAAGTCTGATAACATAAACAAACACGTTCTATTACCACAGATAAACAATAGACTATTTTCTTCTTTCTTTTGACAAGAAAATAAGTGAAACCTGCACATGAGCAAACTTATTGGGTCAATTTATTAAATGGTTTTGCGCAAATTTATTGGTTGTGCATGTCTCCTCTCAAAGATAACCGTCTGCACAAGAAAGTGCACAAAACCAAATGGATAATAAAACAGAAAAATACTATGGTAGCAAACATGCTGGACACATTTAATAAATTGACCAATAGAACATGAAATCCCAAAGCAAACATATGACACACCCTGTTCGGAAGAAGTGCATGTGAAAAGGCTTGCTTGCTCTAAATCAATCGAAGCAACAAGATAGAAGGCAGGACTCTAAGGGGTTGTTTGGTATGTGGGTTTGGGGGGATTTGGGAACATGGGTTGGGGAGTAAACCCCCTTAAACCCATGTTTGGCAACCATAAAGTATGGATAGGATTTCAAACTCGGCCCGATCATGAAACCCACATACTTGGGTTTCATGAAACCCAAGGGGGTGGGTGGGTTTCACTTGTGGGTTTGGGGGTTTAACATGCAAATGACATTTATACCCCTATATATCCTATATACCTCATATATACAAATTGGTTAAGGGGCAAAAAAGTCAAATATATACAAATATATTATCATAATAGTAATACACCCTGCGCATACCAAACACGGGCATAGATAGCATTAACCCCCTCAAACCCATCTTTGGTCAAACCCGGGTTTGGACAATCCAATCCAAATCCCTCCCAAAAAAAATACCAAACAGGCCCTAAGACTCATAATAGCTACCTACGACCTTTACTTACCACATGAAGGATCCATCTAAAAGGAAAAGGGCTAACTACTATACGGACTAGACTAACTAAGATAGAAAGAGAAAGGACTCACTTAAGGAAGCCACATACTTACCCAGCGAGTAACACACTCGCTCTGAAATTTTATTTTCCAATAGATTACTTATCCAGTAAGTTTTTTAATATAAACAATCTTCGCTGAACCTAACTCCATCTGCTTTTGAATGCGTTTTTCAATTTTCTTTTGGGAAGGGACATGTGAGGTGTTTTTAGCTATGGAAGACAGGATGTTAGTCCTAGGCCAAAGAATATGGTTGGATTATGAGAAACTTTAATAATTTGTTGAGTTTAAACCACAACCGCTAAACTGTTGACACAAAAACCTAATATCACAACTTGGTGTAAAGTTACAAGCTCTGCAATGATCATGACATATACTGATACAAGTTAACCAAACACATTTTTTTTGGCTAAGCAATTGTGCGTCAAAACAAATCATAAAACATCTTGACTATTTATGTTCTTAAGCAGTTTTTCAGTCTGTGTTTTCCAGATGTCCAATAACTAAGTGGACATGCTAACCTCCCACAGAGAGCTGGAACACACAACACACTGCATATGCAGAGGTGATTGAGCAGTGATTATGCTGTCGCACGCCCATATCAGCTTCAAACATGGCAGAGTGAAATATAGCAACATGAAAAGGCCATCAAAAGATTTAATCTGTGACCGTTTTTACTCTTGATTATTCGGTATGTGCTCAAGCTCTGCCAAAATGTAAAGGAAAAAAAAAAGGCATCCAACTGGTGAGATGAAGCTCACTTTTTATTGATTTTATCAAACTCTGCCATAAGAAGAGCCATTGCCTTCTTGTCATTCCTCAAGAGTGGTTTCTTGATTTCTTTTTCAACCTTTTCCAGTGCATCCATCATCATAGCCTCTGCACCAAGTTCATCAGTGAGGCCTCTCCTGCAAAATATAAATTATAGAATAAATTTAGAAGGAGAAAATAAGCAATATTAAAGAGAGATACATAGAGCATTATAATGCAAGGGCAAGGTCCATTACACCTAAAGCATTACCATGACGCTGCAACCTAGATAAATAGATCAACTAACAAACCTCAACAAAGAGAGCCTCGCAATGGTAAGGACTGGAAACACAAAAAGAGATTTTACAAAAATATCCTAAAGCTTCAAACCAAGAATTCTGGAAGATTTTCCTAATCTGCTATTTAGGAACAAACTAGAGCCACTTACTAAAAGATATCATTAAGCCTGTAGCCCAATGCCATCAACTGCCAATTCAAAGTGTGGGCAGGACCTCAATAATCATACCCACTTGAACAGTAATGAGTTAAAATTGTCTTAAAGATCACCAGACAAGGGGCAAACCCAGGTAAACATAAGGTATAAGATAGGGTAACATACATCTAACTCATAGCAAAAACTCTCCCCAGAAATCTGCAAGGTAAGCCAAAAGAAAAGAAGACTTAACATTAAAAATTGACCCTACAAAGCAGAAGCCCAACCCCCTCAACGAATCTCCTGTTTCTATCCCTCCAAGTGATTCACATTAAGCAACGAAACTAAAAAGTTATTTAGCTGAAATATTACATTTAATCAAAAACGTATTGAGATACTAAAAACTTATACTACAGAAGATTCCTAAAGTAATAACAATAGTTGGCTACTTGGCTAGACTGACAAATATTCAAAAAGAGGTTTTATTTATCCACGCATGCCCTACATGCGAATTATATACAGACACATTGCTACAAAATCTGTGTACATTTAAGACTATGCTTCTATGTATAATTGGCTTGTCACAAAAACAACGGCGTAACAAGCGCGGGGCATAACGAATGGTACATAACTGTAACGGAAACTGAAAGCAAATTTTTTTTCCATTCATACCTCGTGTAAAGCTTTCTAGTAACTAAGTTATTTTTAACCCATTGAGCCAATCCTGATCCATTTTTTTCATACCACAAAGGTCCACTGACCAAAATGGGATCAACATATACGGCCCAGACTCTGTTGACAATTGTGGCTAAAGCATTATATACATGATACAATACTAATTGACAAATAATCAATCCCCTTAAATCCGGGCAGTCAGCAAACAATCCTCCTAAATCCGGAGTCCCATACAGAAGGCAGACTCACCTTTTCACGCATCCAAAACCTTACCAGAAATGGTGCTTGGCCACATTTTGTTCCCTTGTTTCTCATCGCTTCAAGAAAAAAAATTCAAGCACAGAGCAAGTAGAGGGAGTACAAGCAACTGTGGAGGAGACCCTGTTCTTCTTCTGTATATTTTACTGAAGATAATGGCCCTTCGAGGCCGATGCCAAAGAGAGAGATTTGTGTGTTGATTCCTGTGAGGATAAGGGGGCTTCAAAGCAGATGCCGTACAGAAAGATTGCTGAAGACACAAATTGGTTCCAATGTTCATTGATTTCTGCAAAGCTCACACTTGGGTGCTTTTTCATCAAACTAATTTGATTTATTAAATATCACGGGGTTTCAATTTATGGATTTTTATACCATGATCCTAATTGTATTGTTTCTGTTCTCTTCTATTTTCGGAGAAGAATTGGTGGGGTTACACCCTGTTTGCTGGGTCACATTGATCTGTAAGGGTTGTAAGTAAATTACAGCATTTTAACATTTGTAGAGGCCATTACAACACCATTAGGTGTCACAACGAAATTACACATGCAAAAAAAATTCTGGCCGAGATAATGGGGTGAGATTGTATCCGAGCCCACCATTACTATTGCATAACGGCCGTCATGGACAGCAACTACTGATTTTCAAAAATGTGATTATAGCTCACATCAACATCATGTAACCTGTATAGAGAGAGGGAGTTGTCCACTTCTTCCTTGGGGTTTTCTTTGTTGTATATTTTTGACATTTTTTCCTTAACCCATCACATGGGTGGAGTTTGTTCTCCACAACTTCTCCATTTTTTATTTGTGAATTTATTTCCACTACATCTCCTATCATGAGAGAGAGAGAGAGAGATCTGCCATCCCTTTTCCATAGATCTAGAGGTCTTGTTCAGTCCTATTCCTCTTCCAACTTTTGAAGCACTAAACCATATAGGTCTAATGACGTTTACGATCAGCAGTAAAACACGTCCATACCACGGGCACACAGTCATAGACTCATAGGAACACATAGCCCCTCAATACCCAGAAGCTCATTTCTTTCTAAGTCTATCAAATGTTGACAAAAGACTAGCCCAAACAAACCTTTACCATTTTATCTACAAGTAAATGGTAATAGTACAATCTTTACAATACATAAAATGTCTGGAAAGTTTAGTCTGCTTGGCCATTCCTTTCTGGAAAAAGGTTATAAACTAGGCAATGCATTAACTTATTAAATAAAGTGAAGCAATTAAAATTCCATGGGCTTTAACATGTAGAAGAGAATGTGATTTCTTTGGTAAGTCAGATGCAAAGGAGAAAATATGGATTCTGTAAAACTCAAATAGATCAAAGCAAAACAGAGATTCAGAACACATCTTATTGACAGAGTTAACATTATAAGCAAGATAGATCACATGTAGAGGAGAAAATATGGCTACTGCAAAATTGAACTAGATAAAAAATGTAGGCTCAGTACACATTGGCTTAACATATTAACATGCTAAGCAATATTAAGAAACCAATAACTAAGTCTATTCGGTAGTCACATGAAAAGCAATATGAAAGGTAGACATGCCACTAATAGATATATAAGCATCTAAGCATAGTTATCAGAACCGGATTAGAGATCGAACCGGCAAAAAGACTAGGTCAATGGTTTAACCGTTGGGTCAACAAGTCGGACCGATCGCATAATAAAAAATAAAACATATTATTAATAATGATGAATATACCAAAAAATTGAATAAATACAAAAACCACATTTTTATACTATGGTAGATCAAATAAGAACACACAAAAAAATTCACAAATCATCTATTTCCTAAGATTATTTATAAAATTTAATATAATATCAACAATTCATAAATAGGACTTGCAAATAAACATTAGTAGTATTATGATCACAAAAGGAGATTAAAAAAAGATTGAAAGAATAATTATAAAACAAGAAGAGAAGATGGCTGGCTAACGGCTAAGTGCTAACAAATGAATCCCACATTGGAAAGCAATTGCAAAGAAGCATCACTATGCTTCTATAAAAAGTTGAACCAAAGGCTAGAAGCTTGTACTGTGGTGTTGGCTCAGCAGCCTGATGACAGATGGATTGGTGTTGGCTGAACAGCCTAATGACAGCTAAAATGAGTTTAGATATTTTATTCTAAAGAAAAAGGTGATTGGTGGGAGTGGTTGAACCGTCCGGTTTACACCAGTTTTGTAAATATTTGTCCGGTCCAACTGGAGTTTTAGCAGTTCAATTCCTTAACCGCCTTAGGGTCCGGTTCTGATAACACTGCATCTAAGAATGGAAAAACAAGAGGTGAAAGCACAGAAGGACACATACTTGATTCGGATCTCCTTTAATGTCAACAGATATGTGCGGGCATCTGGAATATCTTGTGTTCGTGTTTGAATGGTGTATTTAATTCTTTGAGATTCTGAGAACAAGTCTGCCCTGAAAAGGTTAAAGCAGCATAATAGGCAAACGCATCATAATTCAGAAAACAGCACAGTAGGTACAGATTCCAAAGCATAACATATTAAATTATTGTTCCTAACAACACATGCAAATCTAAGTTTTTTTTTATTAAACAGTAAGTCAATAACTGATAAAAATATTGACACGGATATGAGGAAAGTAAGGACTCTTGTTTTAACTGATCATATATGACCAGAGATATACATATAGATGTATCATCTGTTTATATTCATCATATTTGAATTGTTAATACCTTGTTAAACTCAAGAAATCACTTACAAAACCTAGTTCTGTGAGTTCTACTTATAAAAAAGGGAAAAAATACAAAAAGAGATAAAAACTTTTTAAGTATTTTTGCAATGGGCATAGTTATCCCAAAACTGGATTATATGACAGGTAACATGCTAAACTCATCTTGTCCAACAAAATAACTCAAGACGAGGGCTCTTTAAGATTAGAAACATATATGCACAATAGTGACACATTCACTTATCCCCAAAAAATATATATATGATGATTTCAAGTGCTTCCAAAAAAATAATTCTAATCCTTCTATACTATTTGGTATATAAAAAATTATTGACACAACTAACTGCAGGAGACCAGACATGCATAGATGTGTTTGAGCCTTTGAGGTGATATGAGGTTCTTTGTCTCTTTCTTTGGTAATAGTGCAATATGACTGATATCTATATGTGGATAAAAATATCACGGCATGCTCTGTATGGATATATTTGTTTCTCCTCCCATCCACCTGATGATGATCATCAATCAAAAGACGAGAAATGTTTTGACTCTTGTCCATGGCAATTAAGGCATTGGCCACATTGAACTTTGCTGATGGTATCTAGAGATATAGAATATTGGAGAAGACATCATAGAAATTAGTCATAAATGCCAAAATCTATCGATGCAATAACATATCCTAATAACTAACTGATGCAGCCCATAAGATGTTGAAGGAAAGACAAAATCAAAAATGCCACAAATATGGAACTTGGCACATATAGGATAATGCTGAGGATCAAAATATTGTGTCGAAACAGTCGAAACGTTTCCATTTCCAAGGAGACCGAAATGAAATAATGATGGAATCGAAATTCTAATATTTCAAGATATTCTATAATATTTTGAGATGTTTTTATAATATTTCAATACATTTACACAATTGTTTCGGAATGTTTCAAAGTATTTCAAGATACTCTGATATATTTCTATCAATATTTTAGAAAAATAATTCTTAAATTTTTTATTTTTTTTATTATGCTTCCGAAACGGGTCGAAACTTTTCCGAAACACATTGAAACATTTCCGTTTCCTAGGTGACCGAAACAATACACCAAAACGAATTTTAATCTTTGGCTGAGCCTACTTGGGTGCTTGCATACACATTATGAAGTTTTATTTGGAGTTTGTTGGTCATAGTACTCTATGTGTCTTTTTATATTTCTTTTTAAATCAGTAATTCAGGATGGAGTAGATCAAGTAGATGAACCAATACAATCTCCAGCCACTACACTAATTGTTTGTCCAAAGGATCGGTAAGAAGCAAGTATCCGAACAATATCCATGTTGTAGAGCGGCTACAGCCTAAAAGATGGAGGAAAGAACAGCTAGTCATGAATCCAATTTTCCTTAAGAGACGACCAAGTTACAATCTGACTTTGAAATAGTGCCAAAGGATTTACCTTGTGAAATTCCTCCCATTGATGACTTCCAACCGACAACATTAATACCTCAACTAATTTATTTTTTTGCATCCACCAAGAGTCTAAGGGAACATAAAGAGCCACAAATGCTACCATGTTCAAACAATGCTCATATCACCATGTACAAAGAGGTGCAATCAAAAAGATTATAAGTTTGAATGAGCAATAGGAAGGCAAGGCTGGAACACTACCAAGGTTCAGGTTCAATATCAATTCCAATTATTATTTTCTATGCACTTGCTTCCGATAATTGATTTTGTCATTCCATAGAAGTTTGATGATACAATTGAGAAGATCAATCTCCAAAACTTTTCTTCATAACAATGCATAATCTTAAGATTTTTCATAGACAATTACATAAAAAAGTTCAAAGCTTTAGGACATTCACACTTCAACAATTCAAAACTCGAGGTAGGGCTTTCTCCAATTGGAGAAGAATGATGCAGCACATAAGATGTTAAAGGAAAGACAAATTCAAAGATGCGACAAAATATGGAATTTGGCACATGTTGAATGAAGCGGATCCAGATTTGGGAGCTTGCATAATCATAATTAAGTTTTATTTGAGTTACTTAGAGAGAGAGAGAGAGAGTGTAAGTTAGGTGCTGTTGCAATAATTGTGAATTCACGTATTCTTCACATTTGTAACATCTAAAATGGAACCCAAAGGATCTGTAACAACCAACGTAGTCGGTAGTTTTCCTCACCAAAATTGTTGCACTTCATATGGACATGCAACCGTAAAGGAAGGAAAAATCAAGTGATCACAATCACTATCTGACAGTTCAGTCCATGGGATGGTGATATGGGCTGGTTCAGTCCATGGAATGGTGAGAGGGGCAGGAAAATTGAAAATCAGTAACCCTCCATCTGCCAAGTTTTAGGGCATAAACTAAGAATTTTTTGACTTATCCTGAAAAATTCATAAGATTATGATGTTGAATCATAATAATCATGTATCATGAAGAATCAAGGTGGGGCCAAACAAAAATGAACAAATCAATAGTGTAAAGTTCTGCGGCAGTAGTAAAGGGTGCGGGAAATCACGAACCCAATTTAATGCCTCGGGTCTTTCATCAATTTAGTTTATTTGATCGTAATGATATAATCTTTCCTGCTCCTAACATATGACCAGCATATATTTATAAGCTTCTTATCACTCCTATATTTACTTTCTCATTGAAGAAACGGCAGTGATTTGATATTTTATAGAATATATTCGATGAACTATAATGTTAAAAGGATAAATGGTAACCTATGCTCCAACAACATTGGCTACACTGAATTTTTTTGTCGCTGAAATCACATAGACAATAGCAAATTAATAGCGAGAAAAATATTGAGGCATTAAACAAAAACTTACTTTTCTCTAACAGTCTTCATGACCTTTGCATACTGTGCTACAGCAGCTGGATCATCAGGATCAATGGTGATCTTTTCCTTCTTGAGTATTCCCATTGCTGTCTCAAACTTGTTCTTAACTTCCAAGAAAATGTTCTTCAGCATCTCTGTTCAGTACAAACGCAGGTTTATGTGTAAGACATAGATGCTCAAGAGTCAAGACTCCAATATTCAAAATTAAACCTCAACTTCAAATTGCTTGAGAGTGACAATTTTCTATGGTCGAAAGCATATACAGTTCATTGCTTACATGTCTTACAAGACATGATCTTATAAGCTTATGCATACTCCTTAAAAGTATAAATTAGATTACTTCAATCCATGAATAAATGCGATGACAAAATTGGAAAAAAGGGTACATTCATACACAAAAATAGCAGCAGAAGCTGCACATCATTATCATGTCGCTGAGCATCCTTCATCATGATATCACTCAAATACGAGTGTATTTTAGGATAAAATGACAAGTATATGCTTGACTTTGGCCTTATAAGATGCTTATTACTAGAGGGAAAAATGAAATAAAACAAAAAAGAAGTAAAAAAAAAAAGAGAGAATAAAAATTCACTAACCATCTCCCTTAAGAGCTTGGCGAGGAGCTTCTTTGGCGAAGAAACGGACTGGAACAGCATGCTCCCGCTGCAAAAGGCTCTGACCAGCAGGCAACTGTATGAACACAAAGCAAGAGATAAAGATACAAAACCACCGACGAAACCTAGTGGTTGATAGTAATATTGTCAAAAAATAAATTGCTTAAAAAGGTATAGTTTCATACTACAACAATAATAATAACAGTAAAATAGGAGCATGTTGCTGAATCTTGGGGCCAAAGAAAGAAGAAGTGGTGAGCAATTCCACTGAAATGCAAAGAGAGCATGGATTTAAAACCCCACTGGGAATCTTTTCTTATGCCGTTGCCAAATCAGCAATGAGTTATGTCTTAAAGTGGAAGGGAGAAATTTAAAAATTCCAGTGCTAAGTATATAGCCAAATTCCACAAACTTATTTATCAAGGTTTGAGTATAGACTAGAACTGAACTCAAATAAGCAAACTGGCTTTATTGTCCATACATCACCAAATCCACTTCGTTTCCAAATACCATTATCGTTGAATCAATCCTCGATGCTAATAAACCAACGGAACTAAAGGGCTGACTTTGGGTACGGACTACAATGATTGTCTTTATATTCGAACCCACAATCTTGAATGTTAAATGATTAAAAACAAGTACTGATATGGAATTCTCACCAACCGTTGCGATGTCCAGCCAAAATACCACTTCTAAGACGGAATGAAACTGGGCTAGGATCACGTATGAGATAATTCAGTTTCACGACAAGAAAAGAGAAAGAAATGGTTCCATCTTAATTTGACAATCGATTGCCCCCTTATTGATCTTTGAAACATACATGTCATTTCTATAGAACTTACCCTACAATATGTCGTACAAGTCCAAATCCTAATCAAATCCGAGATCGCCAAAGATCACGATAACATCATTAGCGTGCATTTATATTCTCTATTTCAATTCGATGAGCACAAAACGATTGTACGTGTAGACACAGTTGCGTGAATATCAATGTGTGTGTGAATGTGAGTGCGCCTGCACCTGTTTGGATTTGGATAGAAGACGGGAAGCGAAGGCCATGATTAAAGCTTAGCTTTTCGTCGTCGTCTTCCTCGTTTGCTTTCTTCTCACAGTTGATTGGCGTCGATGGATTAGGGTTTGTTTGGGTCCGATTGGGATGTCAGATTCTCTCTCTCTCTCTCTTGAAGGCGGGTCAGTGTTGCTGAGTGGGAGCTGTGCTGATCGAGTGTTTCTCCTGAGTAGGTTTATCTTCTACATCGGGACCGTTGATTGTTTACATTTTCTTTCCCTAAATCTTTGAACGAATGACACTTTGGACCCTAAAATATTTTAAAATTTTTCATTTATACTATCAAAATTTATTTTTTCACATTACCCCCTCAATGTCTTGTCATGAAATGGTGCAAAGCGGCCATCATGCTAACTTTTTTTACTATTTCCATGCAGTAAAATTTGACAAAAATAGTAACTAAAGTTAAGGTGTCATATATTATAACTATTTTATGACATTGAGGGTGAAATATGCAAAAATTAAAATTTGGGGGAACATTGAGAGTTCTAAATTTTTTCACCGTGGAAAGTGCAATTCTCCCTAAATCTTTATTTGACAATTTTTTTAAAAGATTTGAATAGAACCCGAATTTATTTATTTGAATTATTTATATCAAATCAACATCTTACTGTTATGGTTGAACATAATTAACAAACATGTACCAAAAAAAAAAAGAACATAATTAACAAACAAATTAGGTAGCAAAATACCTTGAGAGGCCTTCCTTTCCTTTAATTTTAGTAAAAAAAATTATATTGCACATGTAACAGCTGATTCAACTTCCATGATTAATGATTCTTTGTGTGATATTAGATGTATCGAATTCAATCTCCTCCCCCTCCCCTGTTTAAAAAAAAAAAATCCGCACCTTATATAACATCCCACGCTATATATGAATTTTACTTTCTTGACTTTAATAAAATCTTCCTATACAAAATTCCTCATATACATCTTAGTGCATGATTACCTGTGTTTGAATGAAGTGAGTAGGAATATTAAAACAAAATGAGAATATAAATCTCGTACATCGCACACACCCCGACTATTAGTTAGGGTCAAGCTTAATACGGATGGATGACCAAAAAGAGATCCAGGGGAAGCAGGCTTGGAAGGAGTCTTAAGGGATGATCAAGGGCATTGGATTGCAGGATTCTATGGGAAACTTAACCTAATGACCAGCATTAAAGCAGAAATGTGGGCATTGTTCAAAAGCCTAAGGCTGATCAAGGAGCAAGTCTTGTCTGGAGTTGAGGTGGAAATGGATTCATATGAAGTCTACTCACTGCTGAAGCACCCGACGGAGGATTCCAACCCCAACAGGGTTCTCATTTGCCAACTGCAAAAGGCTGTTAGGTGATTCGAACAGTGCAGTGAACCATCTCCTTCGAGAAAGAAACCAATGTGCGGATGCTCTTGCAAACCTGGGAGTCAGATAGGAGGAAAAGTTTGTTTTCTTAGGTAGCCCTTCGGTGGAGGTTAGAGCGGTACTTCCGACTGATTTGGCCAGGACCTTTTTCATTAGAGAGCTTAGTGGTTCTCATTTTATCTTTCCAGTGTACCAGAAAAAGAATGATTAATATTGTAAAACGTTCAATGACGAAGACAATGTAAAACGTTCAATGGATTGCATTGTATGACCATTAGTACATATATAAAGGAATCAAATTAGTTAATAGATAGGTCTTGAAAACCTTCCACCATTGAATACCCAACTATGAGATGTTTTGGAAATGTTTGATTAGTTTCATTTGATAAAAACTGAAACATGTCCATCGAACTACTTTCCTCTTATGTTTGTAACAACTCTTTTCTTATTTGTTTATTACAATATACATGTTCACAAGAATGTACATTCAAATTTATTTAGAATCACAAAATAAATAGGTCTCTAGAAAATGAGTGACTTGCATACATGTGCGTACTCTCTCTGTCTCTCCTTCTCTAACTATAACAAATGCTAGCAAAAAGAAAGAACCATATAAACAGAATTACTGTAACTTTGTAGTGGCTGAACTCAACATGCACATCCTCCACTTTGCTCAGTTTCAGAAATAGATTCTGAGATTCTATGGAGATAGCTGCAAAGGGAAGAATGAGTTATGTGCTGATTATGGAAAGAACATCTAGAGATCTTTTAATATGATCATTTGCTTTTGTTGAAGACACCTGCTAAGAAAGATTAGGCTTTTTTTGTTTTTCCTCTCATAATTGTTGCTGATGGTAAGTAACAAACCCAAATCAAATGGTGTATACATTGAAAATTTATTAAACTTCCACCCCTCATAAGGTATTTTTTTATAGCAACCGAAAGTTAAAAAGAAAAATTGAGAAAATTCCATTTGGTTCTGTTGGGTATGTGTATAGTCTTAGCTAGTTTGGACGGTGACAGATGGGTCTGTTAGACTATAAACTTGAATAAATACAATACGAACTTGGATAAACACAATGTATATATAATATGAACACGACATGGCTTGAGTCCGCCTATACACAACTCTAAATGGGGGGTAATTCTACGATACCGAAAAAAAAGTTATAACTTGCACCTCAAAAAATTATAACTTGACCAACAAATTTATAATTTTCGGTACGGACCGTAGTCTTTTCCCTAAATGGGTCGCATATAGTTTAAGAAAATTTTAACACGACACAATTTAGACGAAATGAATTTAATGCAATACGACCCACTCTCTAGCCTAGTTACAATGACCTTGGAAGGGAATCTAGGTGCAAAGGGGGTATAAAACATTGAAGAAAATCAGTCCCTGATAACACATATATACTTACATGTCCTGCTCATGTTCATTGGCAAGGGCAGTTTCTGCTATACACAAAAAAGCAGCATCAACATTGTAATCCTCTTTTGCTGATGTCTCAAAGTAAGGTATATTTCCCTTTAAAGCACACCAGTCCCTTGCTGTCTTCTCAGAAACCTGCATAAAATGTTGCTTAATAAAACTGCAAACCAAGAACAAGTATTAACACTACAGTTCCAATAAAGGTAAATTACCCTTTGACCCCCTTACCGATCTCACATTGTCCCTTTAACTTTTTTTTTTACATTGCACCTCCAATTATGAATATTAGTTTTATTCTTAAACAACAACACTGATTTCACTTTACATATAGACAATTGGTCGATTACATTGCACTATACAAAATAATTCAAAGTTTAACAATTTATGCAAAACTAAAATTGAATGATTAGTCCAAAATGTCACAATTGGAATAATTAATGATGCAAGGTGGTCAAACCAATAGCTGAGGGTGAAGTAAAATCAATATCATAATGTGATATAACGTATAATTTTTAAAATTTGAGAGGCATGAAAAAAAATCAAAAGTATAATTTAGAGGTATAATGTATAATTTGGAAACTTGGGGAGGGGGGGGGGGGGGTTGCATGCCCCCTTGGGCCATAACTTGGCTCCGCCCCTGCTTCCAACTATAGTTTTTTATTCCACATTGCCTCACTTATAGACATTGAAACTGTGTACTTTACTATATATTTGATATTTTCCATTCGAAACATTTGAGGCATTTGGTTCATGGTTTGTGAAACTAATTCAAGTAGTTGAGGTGTAATGTAAGAAATTTAATAGTTAGGGGCAAAGCGAGAATGAACTATTCTTGGGGTGGTGAAAGTATAAATTTGACATCCTTACCACTCTGCTGCTTCCACCATCTACATCCAACTTGTTTCCAATCAATACGAATGGAAATGTGTCAGGATCAGTTGGATCTGCCTGCAGTCACATAGGGATAAAATTAACACTAAGCAATGATTATAAATGAATTTATATTTATGCCTCATAAAGACCAGTGATCAAATCAACTATTTGGAAGGACAATGTATTGAATTATAGTTGCTAAACTATGACAAACAATAAAGATTTTAATTTGACGTGAATATCTTGTATTTCGTTCGGATTCGTAGTAGAATCGATGTAAAACCCTTTGGATTTTGATTTGAAAATTTCATGAGCTTTTAGTCCATGGATCCGAGAGCTTTTAGTCTTGTAATGTTTTCTGTGTTTTTGTGCATAACATCAAACAATGTTTTTGTTTTTCATATAACGGTAAGGGAGGAGAGGTTCAAACTTAATGTCCCTAGGATAGAATGTAGAATACGATTGGGAGTAAGTATTTACTAAAGATGTGAATAAATAGCTATCTATATATCATATCAGACTTCTCCTTTATTAATGTTCTATTCGGGACAACATGAGTTATGCTCTTAATTTATTTTTTGGTTTAACGGTCAGGGTTATTCGGGCCACCTCGACTAATTTTTTACTCGGTCTGATCAAAGGTAGACTATCAACGCTGAGACTAGGGTATTCATGAGGGGTAAATCCCACATGGCTTGCCCCAAAGAGACTGCCAAAATTCGAACTCAAGACGTTTGAGTTTATTACTCGGCTCTATTATCACTTGAGATTAGGATCGTGCTCTATTTTGTAAAAAGAACAGTTTAATGAGTACTAAAAGCAAAGGAGAAGAACTAAGAAAAATAGGCAACAATCACCTGTTTGAGAAACTCTTCATGCCAATTTTGAAGTGTTTCAAATGATTTGGGCACATTAACATCATATACAAGAATGCAGCAATCTGCCCCTCTGTAGAATGCTATACCCAGGCTATGAAATCTTTCCTGCCCTGCTGTGTCCCAAATCTGTTCAGCAAATCACATTTAGATAATTTTAGGGATGACAATCAAATTGTATTTTGTTGGTTCATTTCGAGTTGTGCCAAATACCAATAACCATAACCCCAATTGTTCAAATAATTGTGTCATAAGATGATCTGACACTAGTTTGATTTGTTTACTTTTCCCATAAAATCCACAATTAGGACCCACTCTCTCAAATAATTCAATCACTCATTGATTTTCCATCTAAAAATCTACTCAATTCATGCACTTGCAAAATTCAGGAACAAGGATTAATACAATTCTACATGAAGAAATGGGGAAGAATGAAATTTTTTTAAATTTTTTCTTCATATTTTACTAGGTAAAGGTGTTTGTTTGACATGTCGATGCGGATTATCGATGTTTGATAATAACTCGACACGTTTATTATTCACGACGTTAGCGAGTCGTCACATTTCTAGAATCATGTTACAGAGCTATTCAATCTCAATTCATTAACTTTGTGACAGATTTGTATTGTGTTAATGTGTTATATCAAAAATCACCACCCAAAAAACTCAATAAAACTTTCAGATGAATCACCCACTTGCAAAGTGACCAATTTGTCATCAATTTGCAGTTCTTTTGTCACAAAGTCAGCTCCAATGGTTGCTTTGTACTGCTGACTGAATTTCTTGTACACATATCTGAAATAACAGTCAAGGACCAACAAATCCAAACAATAGGATCTAACCAGTAAATTCAAAAAGCCATCTTCCTATCAAGATTAAGGAGTCTACTAAGTATCTTAGCAGCGAGTTTGAATACACGGATTGGATTAGAGTTCATGCTGCCCGCCCTGAACAAATAGGAGGCGTGGGTCAAAGGTCGCACATAAATGGTTATTGGATCAATTGTGGTTTACTACTAATCTATAGCTGACAGTCTAAGAACAGTTTTGGTATGTTAAGCCTCAATAATGGATCGGGCCTGTCACGGGTCCTCCAAGTCCATGGCCCATTGTGGACCTGGGCTGGGCAGACGGGCTATTGACTAGTCAATGGGTTGGTATCAAGTCGATGACCAAAATTTTTCAAAAAAACCAGGCAAAGTTGCCGGTAATAAAAAAAATTTGCATGTAGGATAATAAACAACCAAACTCATCAAATTTTGAACAACTTAAAACAAGTTTTTCACATAACCAACATGCCATTAATATGGATACTGATTCATCAAAGATGTCTTTCCCACCCTGAAAATTGGCCATAAAACAGGAAAAATAATCAACAACCATAAGGTGATAGAAAATGCACTCAAGTATAAAAATTAAGGTTAATAGTATTTTTAGTCTCTAAAATATGTATTTTTTGTTATTTTAGTCTTCATTGTATCAATTTTGTTAATTTGATCCTTAAAGTTTGAATAATTCGTGTTATTTTAGTTCCTACATAGATGGACCATTAAGTTTTGATAGAATGATCACATAATACTATCTAAAAAAAATGATACGTAAGTACTTCCGTCAAAAAATTTGATGGACCGTTAAGTTTTTGATAGAATAATCACGTGATTCTGTCTAAAAAATGATAAATGATCATTTATGTAAAAAAATTTGACAAATTGTCTGATTAGAGACCAAAATATATGAATTAACTATTTTATGGACAAAATTGATACAACGAGAACTAAATTGACAAAAAATACATACTATTTAAAGATCAAAAGTATTGCTAACCCTAAAAATGATCAAAAAAGGAGGGCAATTTTCAGGAAACTTAAAGCCATGAAAAGAAAGAACAAAACAAGAAAGAGAAGTAAAAGATATGAGGGTGTTTCAATCATACCCACTATCTCCAAGAACAATGACCTTGAGCAAACTTCTATTTGGCATCAACATGGGCTTGTGTCCTGTATATGAGCTTCTATGAAGTTCCTCTATATTTGAGAATTATTTATGTAGAGAGAGAGAGAGAGAGAGAGATGACAATCAGAAAAGAGGTGGGTTGTTCTTCAATCTTCTTTTTCTGAGCTCTCTTTGTTCATGGCTCTCCTTAAATGTGTTTGTGGTGTGTGTTTTGATAGGGAAGGACAGACATGTGAACTTTGATGACCAGACCAACGTTAAAGAGCACCAGCGAAGCTTGGTTTGAAAGATATCATGCGAAAAGACTTAAGTTTTCTGGTTGATGAGTTGTTTGAAGGTCGTGCTACGCAATATAACTTTTTTGTCAATTATGTATGGCTGATTATTTTTTTGAATGGAGTGTTCAATCACAATTAACACAGCTTGGTGCCAGTTCAAAACATGCTTTCTTTAATTTGGTCAAATGATAGAGCCATTTACTTCTATATAATTTATATAACGTATAATGTACTAAAGTCCGTTTATGTCTTTAGAGCATCAAGAGATCAACTAAAACTCTAAAAATAACTAAAATTTAGTTATTCAAATATAAAAATCATATTTCCAAATAAGATGTTCATAATAGGTAAAATGTAATTTTGCTATATTTAGAGTATCACTGTAGTATTTTGTATAAATAATTTGTAATTTATTATCTATTTTTTTGTCTTTTCTCACATTTCTTGTCCATTCTTTGTCTTTTCCTCCATTCTTTCTCTCTCTCCCTCCCACCATTGTTTTACAATAAGGGTAAAAAAATATGAAAAATAATATTTAAAAGACATAGTGAAAATATAGTAAATTTGTTGGAGTGTTTTATTGAAAAAATAAGTAGTTAAAATAAAAAAAAATGTACTTTTAAATAACTAAAATACAAAATCTTGTTGGAGATGCTATGAGGTAGAATAGCTAACAGTAAATTACTTGGAGTAGGCTGACCACCGTGCCTTCAAAGCACAACAAAAAGCTAAAAAAATAATAGTAGATATAAAATGGATCTGACTCAAAATTTAGTGGGATTAATGGTGTTTGATCCAAATCGGGTCAACGATCAAGACTCGTGGCTCTGCCATAAACTCCTTTAATTTTTAGCAGAATTTCATCGTTTAGACCCTTAAAATCTCTGTTTTTGTCATATCAAAAAGATTTTAAAAATTAATAATAAATCATAGGACATTTTGAATTCAGTAACGTAAATTTTGTTTGACTCCAAACGACACATGCTTTTATATTAATTAGTTTAGTCCACACTAATAAGGTTGGGAAGTATACATTAAGTACATTATACTTTCGGTTAATAGAATTTTTGGTCTTTAAAATATGCATATTTTGTCAGTTTAGTCTAAAAAATATCAATTTTATCAGTTTAGTTCTTAAAATATTCAATTCGGGTTTAAATGATCCTTAACTAGACGAACTGTTAGGTTTTTGACGAAATGATCACGTATTGGATATGTAATACGGTTTGAAAAAGACACATGATTACTTCCATCAAAAAAATTTAACGAATTGTCTGATTATGGACTAAAGTGACACGAATTGAAACATCACGAACCAAATCGATAAAAATTAATAAAATGAGGATTAAATTGATAAAATTGGCATACTTTAGGGACTAAAAAAGATATTAACTCATATATATTTTTTATTACATTTCACCAATTATTTAACTGAATATTCATTTAAATTGGTCAGATTAATATTATTATGTCAACCTTTTTTTACTTATTTTTTTAGCTAAATATTTGATTAAGGATGTACTCATGAATGTCCATTTATGTCCAATGCAAGTCCAACAATAGCCAGGCAATGGGTGTATTTGACATTGTTGTTGTGTTCTCTTGTGATTCCACCTATCAACTGTTAACTTTTTGACTGAAAAAAGTTCTCCTCACTTAATTTTTTTCTTGTGAGCTCATCTGCCCCAAATGCTTCAAAAGCTGTCCGGTGATTGAGATGGCATACATGGCATCTCTATGACTCAGGGACGGCACTAAAATAATTTCAGATGGAAATATTAAATTAATGTTTTTTAAAAAATATATTTTTTTAATTTTTTATGTGAGAGAGAGACAAAACACAAAAAAAAATGATATGCTAGTATTGTTGAGAATGAGATTTCATGCTTTTGTTTTTTTACTGAAGGGAGATAGTTATATTCAACTTTTGTTCTTTTTCACTTGTTTTACAGAGAGAGAGAGAGAGAGAGAATGGATAGGGTTAAATAGGCTTGACAATCATGTCGAGTGAAATGAGTTTGTGTCAAAAAAACCCTTCATTCATATCCCATTCATTTATATAAATGAATCTAATTATTATACTCATACACGAATCGTTTACTAGACATGTTACCCGAAACAACTCGTGTGTCCCCCATTAAATAAGAGAATATATTAGAGTATTTCGAGTTCACATGAAAAATTATCAACTCGCCACACATTACAAATGTTTAACCTCTTTACTATAACAATAAATCATGACTAAGTAAAAAAATAAAAACAAAAAATAAATATTAAATGACTACTAAATTTAAATAATTACGAGAAATAAGAAGTGTGAGATGAGACAGAGGTTGAAAGACCTAACTTTTTTTTAAAAAAAAATTATAGTATCATTGTTAACGGATTAAACGAGTTGAAACGAATTTATGGGTTAAACATGAAATTAGTTCGTTTATTTCACAGATCTGTCAAGTTAATCAATTAACTATTCGAATCCATCAAGACTATACTCAAATTCATTAAATTCGCATCGATTTATGAGTCATGTCTAAAGTTATCCGTGAGGGTAAATATAAGGTAACTTTTTTGCTATGGTTACTTGTGGTTAACTGTGCCAAGTTGTTTTGAGTACAAATTAGGAACATCTTAGTCCACAAAACTCTCGCCTAACTTATCCAATACAAGAACTTTAAAAAAGTGGTAGGCCGTACGATTTTTTTATTGGTAGTAGTGGTTCGACCAAACACGGTACGAAATGATATGCAGCCGAAGTGACGCAATGTGGCTGTTCTGCCTAAGCAATTCTTCCAAATTCCGGGTTTAATCTGGGGTAATTTCTCCTCTGCTACATGTATATTATTCGATGCGGACTATAATAGTGATTAATTAATGAATATAAAAAAAAATGTAATTTGGACCAAATGCATCATAATTATTAAATTGATAAAAGGTCCCAACCAATAATATTAGTTTTACTGTCAATCCAATTGTAAAAAATAATTAAATTAATAAATACGGTCAGTGACTTAGATGAAATAAATAAAATCATTCATAATAAATTATAAATTGCGAGTTGATGGTGTGAATCAAAGTGGGTGAGCAGGAATTGCAGGTGACGCGTGATGATTGTGGATCAAAATTACAAGGCTCGTGTGTGATGCTGGAGTGTAATGCTGAGGGGATTTGAGGGGTGCACACAGTAAGAGATATAATAGTTCATCGGCTTAAGAGCTCAACTAGTTCACTTCTTTAATGGAGGCTCTTGCTCCCTCTCTTTTATTCACCACTCTAATGTGTTACAATTCGGTATATCTTGAAATTAGGGTTTGTTTTTTTCTCTGCCCCCTCTATGGAGGCATTACATAGTATTTATAGGACTATTCCCCATTCTGTCGGATCTCAGCCGAGATCTCTGCCAACCATTAGTGGGATTCTCCTTGATTTTGAGAGAGAATATCGATTGGTTGAGAGTTTCATGTCTTGAACCCAATTTTTGCAGTTATCCAGCTGTTCTCTAGTCTGTCCCGCTATTATCTCCCTAAGGGGAGCTCTGGCCTCAGACTTTTGAGCTCCTAGTATTCTATCAGACCTCCTGACCTGATCTTGTTTCCCAAGCTCGTTCTTATGGCATATTCGAGATATCATCATGAGTAATTTTGGTAGACTAGTTTAGGGGTATTCGAGTCAGTTTACGTATGCTTTGACTAATTTTTTTCTCAAATCTGATAAAAGACAGGTCATCTATACTAAGATTAAGATATTCATGAGAGATAAATCTAATCTCTTATGACCTAACTCCAGTGGGTTGCCAAGATTCGAATTTAGAATATCTGCAATTACAGTTAATCCATTTTACCACTTTCGCTAAGGTTTAAACCAAAAAAAAAAATTGTTTATTGAGGGAAGGGAATAAACGAAAAACAATAAAACAAGAGATAAGAAGTATGGTTTGATGGCAGCCGTCAAAATTTGAATTCAAAAAATCAAAATTTATAACTAATCCCTATTAACATTTTAGCTAAGGATTAAAAAAAAACTGTTTATTGAGGGAAGGGATGAGTTGTCGAGTTGATATAGTTGTCTTTTTGTGGCATCGCGTCAAAAGGTTCTCCTTGAAATTCAATGGCGCCTTGGAGAAGGAGAATTTCCATATGCCAGCCAGATGCAGAGTAACAAGACAACTGCTCCAGCACCGAGCCTATTTTCATCATGAGGAAGGAGAGAGTTGATAGTTTTACAGCTACCCAATCCCCAATTATATTTACTTCGAAGTAAGGATGGTAGTCTTCCACATGATTTTTTGAGATAATTTTTGACACCATACAAAATTGATAAGCAATAGGGTAAAAATTATAGTTGATTCTTAAATTTTGTCTTTAATTTTAATTTGGTCCATTTTAATTTTTTCAAATGGGTAAACTACACTTACACCTTTTGAACTATCACCTTTTTTTTCACTTTGCCCTCTCAATTACAAGATTTTTTACATTGCACCATAAACTAACACTTTTATTTCACAGTGTCCCAATAACAAACGTTTGTTATCTTTTTGGATGAAAATTATTGATGTGTCAGAGTAAAGTGAAAAAAATTACATAGTTTAAGGAGTAAAATATAATAATTTTTCATTAAATATGTACTAGACATCAATAATTAGAACAATGTGAAACTAATCACATAGTTGAGGGTATAATGTGAGAAATTTGATAATTAAGAGGGCAAAGTGGAAAAAGAGTGATAGTTTAGGAGGTGTAAATGTAATTTACCCTTTTTCAATTTAATCCCATAACTATTTCGCTATAATTAAGTTATTCCATTAATTTCTACCGTTAGATCAACTGGAGACTAACATAATCTGATTAATTTCAATGTTGATTTAACGGTGAAAATGGACAGAAGGACTTAATTAAGACAAAATTGATAGTTTAAGGATTAAATTGTGACAATTAAAAGATTAGGGACAAAATTGAAATCAAAAACAAAAATCA